CCTCCCCATCGCTCGCCCCGTCGACCTACCCTCTCCCACCTGCCGCTGCGTCAACATCGTTCTCATTCCCGCGTCGTGCCCATTCCCTTCCCTCGCGCTGACGCCCTGGTTTCTGCTCTGCCGCCTTCTCCACCCTTCCCATTGCCCGTGTTTACCACCTCCTCCATCTCCCCACCCTAAGCTTCACTCTCACCCACGTCCTCCCATGCGAAACAAAGTCCTCCGCTTTCCTCTTCCTCCCTTCCCTCCAGCCTCCCAGCCTAATCAAGTCCTTTTTGGCCTCCCATTCCTCCTTTCACCTTCCCAATCGTTAATTTCACCTTCACACCCCTATTGTCCCTTCAATCGCTGCGAGCGATCCTTTTTGCGGATGCATCTTTCCCCCTTCTCACTCTCTCCCCTCCTCCTCACTCTGTTTCCCCCTGCTCACTCTCTTTCCGCTTGCTCACTCTCTTACTCACTATGTTCTCCCCTGCTCACTCTCTTCCCCCTGTCCTCACTCTGTTTGCCCCTTTCTCATTCTCTTCCCCCCTGCTCATTCTCTTTCCCCCTGCTCACTCTCTTCCCCCCTGCTCACTATCTTTCCCCCTGCTCACTCTCTTCCCCCCTGCTCACTATCTTTCCCCCTGCTCACTCTCCTTCCCCCTGCTCACTCTTTCCCCCCTGCTCACTCTTTCCCCCTCTCACTCTTTCTTTTCCCCCTGCTTACCCATTGTTTCCCCCCCTCTCACTCTTTCTTTTCCCCCTACTTACCCATTTTTCCCCCCTCTCTCTCTTTCTTTTCCCCCTGCTTACCCTTTGTTTCTGCCCTGCACACTCTTTCTTTTCCCCCTGATCTCACTCTCCCCTTCCTTGTCCCTATGCCACTTGTTATCTTGCAAGCAGGTTATGCTTCCCTGTCTGCTCCTTCGCACCTTCCCTCTCCCTTCAGTGGTGCAGATCGTCAAGCATGAAGCAACCAAGATGACAACTAGGTGAACTTCGGATAGTGTGGACCCTCTCTGTGTCGAGAATCGTCGAGAATAAGTTTCCACAGTTATTCGCAACAGAATATGCATTCAATCAGGGTTCAGGATATCCAATAATGATGACGTTCGTGACGTTTGGTTCTGTGTGAAGGTTTTTTGCAACACTGCTATGTGTAGAGTACAAATGTTTTACAAATATCTCAAATTACAAAACAGTGTGTCACTCCTCTTAGTGCCCCAGCTCCTCCATGTGCTCCTGTGCCTGCTGCCACACCCTCGAGCCACCAAAAATATGAAGGCACGGTTTCGTCCTGCACATAGCAGGACACTACAGGAGGTTGCACACTCACATGGTGAGGCAGGGAGAAGAGATGGTGAGGCAGGGAGAAAACAAAACGGAGGCAGGGAGGTGAAGAGACACGAATGGAAGGAAGGGAAGGGAAGAAAAGGGAAGGAAAGGGAAGGGAAGGGAATAGAAGGGTTCGGAATGAAGGTAAGGGGAAGGGAAGGGAAGGGAAGGGAAGGGAAGGGAAGGGAAGGGAATAGAAGGGTTCGGAATGAAGGTAAGGGGAAGGGAAGGGAAGGGAAGGGATTAGAGGGGAATGGAAGCAAAGGGAGAGGAAGGGTTGCGCACTGTGAGGGAGTGAGAAGGTGCTCTGTGAGGGGGAATGGGGTGGTGCGACCTGGACAAGGGGAGGTAGATGGGCCATGTGACACGGCTAAGGTAGCTGCATTTGGACAGGCTGGGAGGGGGGGACGACATGGTACGGGCGGTAGAAGGGGAACCAGGGGTAGAAAGCAGGACTCGAATGGGGCAGTGAGGGGGGTACTAAGGCCGGGAAGAAGGGCAGATTGGAGGTGGGCTGACATCGCATTCAGGGGTCTCGTAGTGTGGGCGAGAATTTTCTAGGAATGGGAAGGGCAGAAAGAATTAGATGAGAATGCAAGTATGGGACAGGGGAGGCGCAACTATGGATGGAGGGGAGGCGCAACTATGGATGGAGGGGAGGCGCAACTATGGATGGAGGGGAGGGGGGAGCATACGCAACAAGGGGAGAGGATGCGCGATGCCTCACCCACACACCTAACACCCGCCTTCCTTCCCATATACCCTCCTACCATCACCCTCACAACCCACTCTACGTTGAACTTTTCCTTCACCTACCACTCGCCTTCCTTCCCACATACCCACCTCCGTTCCCCCTGACCTGCCACTCTACCTTTTCCCCAATAGGAGGGCAGAGCGGGAACATGATGTGGGGAGGGGAGGAGATTAGACCTGCGGGAAGAGGGCAGGTGGTAAAGTCCTGGCTAGGGAACAGAACAGAGGGAGGGGAGGGTACAGAGGGAATTGACCTCGCAGGTGTGTGGGGGTCATCTCTCCTCCTTGTTATCTCCCCCCTCGCACGAGCAGGGGGGAGATAACAGGACAAGGAGGAGAGAGGACCTAAACCTGTCGGACAGGAGGACAAGCGAGAGAGAGGAGGACAGGGGGAGAGAGGAGGACAGGGGGAGAGAGGAGGACGGTAGAAGAAGAGGGCCAGGAGGGAGAGAGGTGTGGTTGGAGAAAGGAGGGCAGGGGGTAGAGAGGAGGACAGGGGTGGGGGGGAGAAGTGGGTTAGGAGGGAGAGAGGACCCGTTGGAGAGAGAAGGACAGGACGGGGTGGAATATGGACAGGTGGGGCGAGAGGGGGACAGAGGGGAGAAGGGAGGGCAGGGGGGAGAGGGGAAGACAGGGGGGGGAAGCGAGGGCGGGGGGTAGAGAGGAGAACAAGGGGAGAGCGGAGGACAGGGGGAGACAAGCAACACGGACACTGAGAGGGAAAACACGGGGGATCAGGTGGGTAGGCAAAGGAAAAACTGAGGACAAGCCACATGGAAACTGTGAAGGCAAGCAGCGGAGGCAAGAGAGGGGGGAATGAGGGGCAGCAGGGGGGGAAATGAGGGGCAGCAGGGGGGGAAATGAGGGGCAGCAGGGGGGGAAATGAGGGGCAGCAGGGGGGGAAATGAGGGGAAGCAGGGGGGAAATGAGGGGAAGCAGGGGGGGAAATGAGGGGCAGCAGGGGGGGAAATGAGGGGGAAGCAGGGGGGAAAATGAGGGGAAGCAGCGGGGAAAACGAGGGGAAGCAGGGGGGAAAACGAGGGAAAGCAGGGGGGGACATGAGGGGCAGCAAGGGGGGAAATGAGGGGAAGCAGGGGGGGAAATGAGGGGAAGCAGGGGGGAAGATGAGGGGAAGCAGGGGGGGAAATGGGAGGAAGCAGGGGGGGAACAGGGGAACTAGGGCCGGGAACACAGGGAAGAAAGGGGGGAAAACGAGGAGAAGCATGGAAGGGAAGGAGGGAAAGCAGGAGGTGGAAATAAGGACCCAAAAGGCGAGAGATGGAGAGCATATAGTGGAGACCTGGGGGGGAGTGAGAAATGAGGGGAAGGAGGGATGAGGATAATGAGGTTGGAGGGGAAAAATCAGGGGAAGGAAGGCGGGACATGAGGGAGAGAGGGCTCCGAGGGATCGCCGGAGGTAGAAAGAGGGGAGAGAGAGGGAGAGGGCGTGGGGGGGATCATAGGATGAAGGAGAGGGGGGGAGGGTTCAGAGTAGTTAGATGAGGAGGAAGGTGAGCGTAACAAGGAGATTCTCAGAGTGGGGAGCGGGATAGGAGGAGATAGGCAGAGGGGAGGCAGCGAGGCGGCGAGGCGGCAGGGCGGCGAGGCGGCGATGTTGCGAGGCGGCGAGGCGGCGAGGCAACAAGGCGGAAAAGCGGCGAGGCGGCAATGTTACGAAGCGGCGAGGTGGCGAGGCGGCGAGGCTGCGATGTGGCGAGGCGGCGAGGCAGTGAGGCGGCAATGTGGAGAGGCGGAGGATGGGCTCTGGCGCGTTGGGGAGGCGGATGCGAGGTGGCGACACAGCGAGGAGGCAGCGACGTGATAACGACGCGCCGCGCAGACGATGACGGCGCGAGCTAGCTGCGATTTCGCCATTGGCATGTGATGAGGCTTGGCGCGTTGTACTCGTGGGAGGCGGGCAATCTACCCGTATATGCTCTGTCGTAGTGGCGCTAGACTAAGTACGAAATGAATTTGCGTGGTAAGGCGGTGCCTCAGCGTTCAAGCTGAACGAAATGAAACTCTCTTTGGTTATGACTTGCTCCTAAACTTCAACAGTCAACTCCCGTTTGCTTTATCACTTGCTTGGTTGCGCTACGCCCTAGGCTTGATTTCCGCCTTGGCGCGGAGTATCCCCCCAACGCAACCTCCGTGCGAAACAGGTTGGCGTCGCCAGCCTTGTTTGAATCTCTCGCCCCAGCTTTCCGTACCCTGTACAATTCGTTATCGAATCAGCAAGCGTCAAAGGGGGACCACTAACAATGCCCCCAAAAACTGCCCCCAGGAAAGTGCACCCTTGCTTTAACCTAGTTTCTTAGTTCCCAGATTTCCGGATTTCCTGGTCTGGAGGCAACTAATCTTTATGATTGTCTGACCGCCGTCTTGTTGGGAACTACTAAGCGAATTATATTTGACTTTGTTTCGTTCTTTTGATCGTGCTAATCCTAAAATACGTGGAGGTTACCGAATCTACTGCCCCAACGCACCGAGCATCTGGTTATCCCACGCAAGAACGCCTTCCACGGCACAGCCCCAGGGCACCAGGCAGCTAAACTACCATCATCCCTACTATCAACGCACCCACGATGCCTTGTCGACAGGACTCTGAGAACTCTCAAATGCCTAACTAGGGTCACTGAACACTGATCGCCAATTGAGTGCTCCCTAATCGCCAGTCGTGTGCTCTTTAGACGCCACTCGGGTGCTGCTTCCGTTATCATAAACTGGTCCCCAGAACTATAGGAGCTCGTTTTGTGTCGACTAGTACCTTCCTTCTCGAATTCCACCTCCCGCCGCGATCGGCGGCGATACCGCCGCTAACGCCCGCCAAGGTGGTTACCACCGAAGCCACCACGGACAGCAAGGCGAAGCGGCGCGGGTTCCGGCCGCTGCAGCTGCTTCACGAGGCCGTTTCTCGCCGCGTCGTCGCCATGTTTTACGGAGCGATGGTCTGGGATCCGTGGCTTATAGTGGCACAAATCGCGTGTCTACAGTCGTTATTCTACCTCTCTCTTGGCGTTTTCCTGTGGCTCTTCGTCGGGTCGCACGTTCCTCGATTCACGCTCAAGTACTTCTTTGACTACTCCGTGATCTCGCCGTCCAGCTTCGTCGGCTGGTGCTGCATATTCGCGTTTCTGGCGAACGCGTTTGTAGGGTGAGTGCTTGCAGAAAGAATGGGCGAAGTGGGGAGGTGAAATGCGCGCTGCTCTGCCTGCTCGTTTTCCCCTCCCGCTCCCCACATCCCCTCCTCATACCCCCTCCTTCCTGCCCATTCTCTTCCCATATCCCCCCCGCCTCCCTCCTCTTCCATCCTCCTTCCTCCTCCCTCCCCTCGTCTCCCACCCACCAGTGCCTTTTATCTGGTGGTGGTGGTGGAGCGAACCAAAAAGTGCCTCGACTTTGCAGCCACGGTGCATCTGCTGCACGCGCTGCTCTGCCTGCTCTACGCACACGTCCCCTCCTCCTTCTCCTTCTGGCTCACCTCCTTCCTCTCCTGCCTGCTCATGACTCTCCTCGGGGAATGGCTGTGCCTGCAACGGGAGCAGAGAGAGATTCCGCTTTCCACCACTGGGGGTGCAGGAGGAGCGTCAGGGTCGAGTCGAGTCTGAGTAAGTGCGTATGACTCAGAGGGATTCTGGCTGAATAAGTCTGGAAAATGGAGGTTTGTGTGCCACATACAGGTTCTTCGCAAATTACTTGTTCAGCAGAATGAGAGTCTCCACCTTGAACTGCTTGCATGGGCTCACTTGAGTTGGTGGTCATTCCTTGATCTTGCAGTTATCTGTTACTACATGTCTCACATAAAGAGCCAGATTCGGTAAGTGCTGTGCTTTTACATGCCTCAGCGGCATTCTTTGTGCTGGGGCCAACATCCGATCTAGAGTGTATGCAGTGTAGTCAATGTTGTGCACATAATGTAGATAGCACTCAATAGGAACCCCACTTCATGCCTGGTTAGGATTTGTGACAGAAAAATGAGAAGGTGTTGCACTGCAATGCAGCAGCTTCGTAAACCCGACCGACACTGAGTCGCTATCCACATCTTTTCCTGGGAAAAGAAAGCACTATTTGCCTACACAACTGAATCTACAGCCAATGCATGGCTGTTCTCTCAAGGGTGGTGGTGAAGGAATTACAATACCATTCAGCCGCTTGAGCCTTGCACAGGAATTCAGAGGCAGAGACCGCTGTGGTGAAATTCTATTTTGGGTAAACATTCCCAATTTAGTAGCTGCGCCCCCACAGAGCCCACTTCTTGGCTGGCTTGCCAGACGCAAAGCAGAGTGTGCCTGGGGGAGGGGAGTGTGAGACGGGAGAGGAGAGGGGCAGTAGGGGTGGGATAGGAGGGCAGGGTGTGCTATAGGTGCTGAGTCTGTGACTCTATGCCATGCCATACCTACCTGGGTGTCATACCACGCTCTTCCACCCACACACCCACCCACACACACACCTTGAGGCAGCTCCTGCCCATCAGCGCTCCTCTTCCTCACATCCTCCTCCACAGCCTTGCACCACGGCACCACCACCACCTTTTAGCCCCGCTTTCACCCCCACGTCAAGACCGCTACATGATGCAAAGCCTCACCTTCAGGCAGCTCGGGCAGCTCGGGCTGCTCGAAGGGCATGCAGAGCGTTTTGGCCGACCGCCTTCCCCAGCGCCAGCGCTCCTCTTCCTCACATCCTCCTCCACCGCCTCCTCGTCGCACCACAGCGCCAGCACCATCTTCTTGGCATCAATGGCCGGCATGAACTCGTCCCACTGGGTGATCTTGACTCCTGACTCTGGACTCTCGACACCCCAAGCACAACACTACCCCCTACTGTATCCCCACCTACCAACCCGGCATCAGCCACCGGCCAACACAAAGTGCCTGTATAACGTACCTTCAGGCAGCTCGGGCTGCTCGAAGGGCATGCACAATGTCTTGGCGGATCCGCCCTCCCCAGCGCCAGCGCTCCTCTTCCTCACATCCTCCTCCACCGCCTCCTCGTCGCACCACGGCGCCAGCACCATCTTCTTGGCATCAATGGCCGGCATGAACTCGTCCCACTGGGTGATCTTGACAATGCTGTCGTCACGCTCCTTGGTGGCGCGAGCAAGCATGTCCGCGTGAATGGTGGCGAGGAGGGCCTTCACCCGCTCGCCCAGCCCCTCCCAGGGGGCTGTCTCCTTGACTCCCGTGTCTCGGCGTACGAGAACCACCTGGAGAGACAGGCAAGGGAGGAGGAAGAGAGGGAGGGAGGGAGGGAGGGAGGGAGGGAGGGAGGGAGGGAGGGAGGAGTGGAGAAACGGGGGCATGGTGTGTTATGACCACATGATACTTCAAACCATAGGGGGTGTTGTTACAAGAATCGACTCAAATGCAACCCACCTGCTTGTTGACCAGATCCCTGGGGCCAAGCTCCACACGGATGGGAACACCCCTGAGCTCCGCTGCCTGCAACTCACCCACCGACATCATCACACCACCTGCTGCCAACACTCCACACACCAAGATCAGCCCCTGCTGCCCACCCACCTGCTTGTTGGCCAGGTCCCTGGGGCCAAGCTCCACCCGAATCGGCACACCCCTGAGCTCCCAGAAGTTGTACTTAAAGCCCGGCGAGTAGTTGTCCCGCGTGTCCTCCTTCACCCGCACCCCCGCCGCCCGCAACTGGGTGCCCACGTCGGCGGCTGCCGCCACGACTGCCGCCCGGTCGGCGTCCTTGAAGGGGATGGGGACGACGATGGCCTGGATGGGCGCCACGTTGGGCGGCAGCACTAGGCCCTTGTCGTCTGAATGCACCATCACCATCACTCCGATCTGTGGGTTCAAGGAGCAGGGGCGAAATGAGATGAGGGGGTATGGTTGGGGGAGGAAAGGCAGGACAGCAGGAAGGAATGGGCACCACGTTGGGCGGCAGCATGAGGCCCTTGTCGTCTGAATGCACCATCACCATCACCATTACCATCACCCCGATCTGTATGGCAGGTTTAGAAGAAAGGGGAGGGTGCGAGGATGGGGAGAAGACATCAAGATGGGGAGGGGGAAGGATGGGAAGGTAGGGGGAGGCGATATGGGACAGCAGAATGGGCGCCACATTGGGGGGAAGAATAAGGCCCTTCCTTGTAATCTTGAAGCACTATGCATATGCACTATGCACTACGCACCGAGCACCACGCACCGCGCACTATGCCCTATGCACTATGCCCTATGCACTATGCCCTATGCACTATGCCCTATGCACTATGCCCTATGCACTCTGCCCTATGCACTATGCCCTATGCACTATGCCCTATGCACTATGCCCTATGCACTATGCCCTATGCACTATGCCCTATGCACTATGCCCTATGCACTATGCCCTATGCACTCTGCCCTATGCACTATGCCCTATGCACTATGCCCTATGCACTATGCCCTATGCACTATGCCCTATGCACTATGCCCTATGCACTCTGCCCTATGCACTATGCCCTATGCACTCTGCCCTATGCACTCTGCCCTATGCACTATGCCCTATGCACTCTGCCCTATGCAATGCACTATGCACCATCCACTCCTCTCCCATCTGGGCAGGAGTAACCTAGTATCTTGGCTCTGGTACCCATCATGTGGGCCCTACTGACTGACCGAGTGCGTGGAGAGCCCCCAGCTGTTCTGCCACACCATCTGCTTGGCTGGACACAAGCATACCCCCATATGCGTATCTAAACACGATCAACACAATCAGGCAGGCAGGCACTGGTGACTCCACTGACCGAGCGCGTGGAGAGCCCCCAGCTGTTCTGCCACACCATCTGCTTGGCGCCCTTGTCGTCCTCAAACTCGATGTTGAACATCTTGGCAAAGTTCTGCCCCAGGCAGTGCGATGTGGCCGACTGGATGCCCCTGCCTGTCGCTGGGATGAACGCCTGGCATCAATAGCACAGTTGAAAACAGAGGCACAGTGGAGGAAGAAGGGGAGAGCAGTCACACAGTTGTGACGTGGCAGTCTGAATGCCCCTGCCTGTCGCACAGGAGGGATGGTCGCACAGGTGATGACATGGATGCACAGGTGATGACATGGATGCACAAGGTGATGACATGGATGCACAGGTGATGACATGGATGCACAGGTGATGACATAGATGCACAAGGGTGACCATGTCACAAGGATGAACAAGGATGGTCGCACAGGTGATGACATGGATGCACAAGGGTGACCATGTCACAAGGATGAACAAGGATGGTCGCACAGGTGATGACATGGATGCACAAGGGTGACCATGTCACAAGGATGAACAAGGATGGTCGCACAGGTGATGACATGGATGCACAAGGGTGACCATGTCACAAGGATGAACAAGGATGGTCGCACAGGTGATGACATGGATGCACAAGGGTGACCATGTCACAAGGATGGTCGCACAGGTGATGACATGGATGCCCAGGAAGAAGGATGGTCGCACAAGGGAGAACAGCACAGGGGATGACATGGTTACATAGTTCAATGGAGCCGAATTGAACCCCTACACCATACCACACCGTGTCACACCACACAACACCACACCTTTCCTGCTCCCGTGTCATACCTCGACAGTGGTGGTGTAGAGACCCCCAGCAAACTTCTCTCGCTCGCTCTTCACGCCCTTCACCACCGGCACTGCCAGCAGCTCCTCATAGATGCGGCGGTAGAGCTGCAGGATGGCCCTCACCCTTTCCCGGCAGAGATTCACCCCAAACCACCTTTCAATCCAGACCAAACCAGAGCGCATACCTCCACAGTCGTGGTGTAGAGGCCGCCTGCGAACTTCTCCCGCTCGCTCTTCACACCCTTGACCACCGGCACTGCGAGCAGCTCCTCGTAGATGCGGCGGTAGAGCTCCAGGATGGCCAACACCTCCACGTCCGCCTCCTCCTTGCTGGCGAAGGCCGTATGGCCTTCCTGCCACAGGAACTCGCGACTCCTGGAGGCGGGGGTGGGTGGAAACAGGGTGAATGTAGGAGCGTGGGGTGGCCAAACTCCCACCAGATCAAGGCGTGGGGTGCTTGCATTCGCATCGCATGGGTTGTTGGACTCCCTGCTACTCCTCTCGGCACACTCACTACCACTCACCGGATGAAGGGCGTGGGGTGCTTGAACTCCCAGCGCACGACGCTGTTCCACTGGTTGAGCTTCAAGGGCAGGGAGGGAGGAGAGTGCATCCACTTGGCGTAGATGGAGTACATCACCGTCTCACTCGTGCTTCCTGCCCCCCTGCCCTGCTGCGCCTCCCCACACACACACACTTACCATCCCACCCACCCACACACACCTACTATCCCACCACCACCCCCCCCGCACACAGATCCAGTGCTGCCAAAACCACACACATCCCACCCACTCACCGGATGAAGGGCGTGGGGTGTTTGAACTCCCAGCGCACGACGCTGTTCCACTGGTTGAGCTTCAGAGGCAGGTCGCGGTGCGAGTGGATCCACTTGGCGTAGATGGGGTACATCACCGTCTCACTCGTGGGGCGGATGGCGATCGGCACGTCCAGCTCGGATTGACCTGACTTGGTCACCCACGCCACCTGCGGGGTGCAGTGCGGTGGGATGCAATGGGTGGGATGGGATGGGAATCGGGAGAGGGGGGAGGGGAGGGAGGGAGGCGAGTGGATCCTCTTGGAGTGGATCCACTTGGCGTAGATGGGGTACATCACCGTCTCACTCGTGGGGCGGATGGCGATGGGCACGTCTAGCTCTGACTGGCCTGACTTGGTCACCCACGCCACCTGCGGGGTGCAGTGCGGTGGGATGCGGTGGGTGGGATGGGATGGGGAGCATGGGGAATCGGGAGAGGGGGGAGGGGAGGGAGGGAGGCGAGTGGATCCACTTGGCGTAGATGGGGTACATCACCGTCTCACTCGTGGGGCGGATGGCGATGGGCACGTCTAGCTCGGATTGACCTGACTTGGTCACCCATGCCACCTGGGGGATGGGGTGTGGTGGGATGCGGTGGGATGAGGTGAGAGTGGATCCACTTGGCATAGATGGGGTACATCACCGTCTCACTGGTCGGGCGCATGAAGGGAGGGAGGGAGGGAACGAGAAGGGAGGGAGAAGGGAGGAGGGAGGAGGAAGTAGGAGGGAGGGGAGCATGGAGAATGCGGAGGGGGAAGCAATCAGTTCCCAGATCCGCTCTTGCTCACCTTGGGAGCAGAGCCCTCGATGTGGTCCTTCTCAAAGCTGAGCGCATTCTTGGAAAAACATGGACCTCCGCACTCCCACTCGCTACAAACACATTTAAACTCGTCACAATCAGGTACAGAAGCCGCCGTTGCTCATCTCAGGAGCGAAGGCCTCGACGTGGACCTTCTCGGCGTTGAGCGGCCTCTCGGGGACAAACATGGGGAATCAGGGACTTGTGCACTTTCACTTACAATCATGACAGCAAGCTTGCCTCACCTCGGGAGCAAAGCCCTCCACGTGGTCCTTCTCGGCGTTGAGCGCCCTCTCAGAGACGAACATGGGGAAGTAGGAGTTCTGCACGCCCAGCTGCTTGATCTCCGCGTCAAAGAAGTCCTGCAGGGAGGGAAGGGGAGGGGAGAGAAGGGAAAGACAGGAAAGGGTAGGTAGAAGAGCCGAGAGGCTAGGGTGAGAGAGGAAGGAGTCATGGGAAGAGGTTGTAATGGGAATAGGAGAAAGAGGAGAAACTTTATGCCTTGAATCTATCAAAGTCAAATTCACGAATGGTTTCTGATAGCAATAGCACCTTGATTGTTTCCCAGATGGAGTAGGACCAGGGTCGCAGGATGTAGCAACCAGACACGTCATAGTACTCAATGAGCTCTGACGCACCACCATCTCCGAGTACCACTTCCCATAATCCTCCCTCCCTCCACATCCCTATACTGCTCTCACCTTCACTGTCTTCCGAGTGGAGTAGGACCCAGGGTCGGAGAATCGCGTTTGTGGCACAAGAACAAGATCCGCACCACCTTGATAGACAGTCACGCGTTGATTGTGCCAGGCCCACCTTGATGGTTTCCCAGATGGAGTAGGACCAGGGTCGCAAGATGTAGCAACCAGACACGTCATAGTACTCAATGAGCTCTGACTGCACCACCACCTCCGAGTACCACTTCCCATAATCCTCCGATTTCTTAACCGACAGACCCAGCAGCGTTTCCTTCTTTACTTCCTTCTTCCCCCCGCCGCCTCCACCTCCTCCGCCTTGTTGGTTGGGCTTTTTCTCCTTAGGGACCTTCTCCTTCTTGGGTTTCTCCTTTTTCTCCTTCTTTTCCTTCTGATCCTTCTGCTCCGTGGGCTCGGCTGCTGGCTTATCGGCGATCGACAGGTCAGCAGCAGCTGCAGCCGTCGCGTCGACGGTCTCTGCTGCAGGCGCGGCTTGATCCTGATGGGGCAAAAAAAACGGGAGATCATAAAAATGGGAGTTCACTTCTTCAATACCATTCGTAGCGTCAAGAAAGGCATGATGGCGATATGAAACGACGGATTTCCAAGGACGAAGGGGTGTACTAGACTGAGGAAGCTCGTGAGAAACACAACAATATGACGAAGGAAAAAAGAGCTCGCGTTTGCCACCGACATCAACATTAAACAAAACCAACCAAAAATGCGTCGAGATTAACGCAAGGCTTGTTTGTAACAAAACTATACAAAAACGCTCAATCTGTTCTGTAAGGATTGCGCAGACATAAACGATCCTGTGGTGGCAGCCAGACCCGAGAATCAGGGTTTAAAGTTAGGCTTCCTTATGAGGGTGCTGTCAGTCTCAACGATAATACAGCTTTTGTTATCATAAAAATTTACCATAATCGATTTTACCACGCGGAAACGATGAGAATGCGGGAAGATTAACGGCTGAAATAGACACTGTACGCAGAGGCCCTTAGTTTACGAAGCACGTTGCAAGAGCTGAAGCCACACTAAGCCTATTTGACAACGCACCTTATCCATTGTCGCGAGCGATCCTGCGAGGAGAAACGGGATCAGTGAACGACGCGAACGGGATAGCGTCTACCCAAAAAGCCGAAGGCGAGCTTCTGCGGGAAATCCGCTGTGTGAGTCCGTGAAAGAATCAGGATTTCGGAACGGGATCCTCCCTAGGTTGAAGAAAGGAAGAGGGGATGAAGGCGTGTGTGCTTTGCCTTGGTGGATCAGATTTCAGGCAGGTGGATAGCGGTTCAAAGAGGTTAAACAGGCAAAATGTTTAGTGCACAGCATCGCTCTCAACCGCTTCTGACATTAGCGCAGCGACTGCCCTCGGAAATGCCGAAATTGGCACAGCTCGGATTGTGGATCATGAATACACGCAGCTTTAGCTACTACCTTCATAGTTTATCAGTGGAGTATCAATGTGCGGGGAAGTAAATTAGTCCCAGCCTGTTAGATTAGTTTGCATGCTTATCCTACAAGAGAGCATCTGCATCCGTACATTGAAAAAAAGTGGGGGAAGACACACTTTGGCAAGGCACATACAGATCTGCTTTTGTACAATCACTACCATGTTGCCTTGCCATCACTACGACAGAGCAGCGTTGGCAAGGCTTTCAAGAGATAGGCTCTTGGCAATATCTGCAAGGCCGGATGATCGAACCGCATATTCCGCCACAAGGCGCGAAAACATGGAATCAGGGTCATGCATGAGCTCAGCCGGTGAATTGCACTCAGCCACGGTTCCTGTAAAATGATAAGGCAAAGGCAAGGCAAAGGCAGGAAGGTGGAAGATGATGAGGTAAGGCTGGACAGCACGTTTTGAAGGAGGTCACATGACTTGCATCCATGATTCACCCCCATCCATCACCACCACCATGTCACTGTCAATGACAGTCGCGATCCGATGGGCAATGCTGATAATCGTCGCTCCGCCAAAGCTCTCCTTTATCGTCCGTTGGATCGCTGCGTCGGTGGCGGAATCAACGGACGCAGTTGCTTCATCCAGCACGAGAATCCGCGAGTTCTTCAGCAGCGCCCGACCGAGACAGAATAGCTGCCGTTGCCCAACACTCCAGTTCTCCCCTCCCTCCACCACTGCAGGGAAGAAATTATTTGGGCATGAGCTAAAGCCAACTGAACAGCTTCCTCCACCCCACGCTTCAGTTATTCCCTCCTCCCACCACTGAAAGTTTGAACCCATGTTGCACACATGTCACACACACATACACAGCAGACACATGAAGTGAAACACAGATGTTGGCCCGAAGGCGCCTCAAAACCACGATGCACTCACAAACGGGCCCAAAACAAGATTGGTGAAGTGGCGCCTTTGTTTTCCCTTAGACAAAGCCCCCTCCATGCCTACATGGAGTTAGCTTGCATGTGCCGCCATACAAAGCTTTTATTTTCTTTACTGCTTAGTACTCCCATCCACATTCACACTCACCCTGTGCATCCAGCTTCGCTTCATGCCCCTCACAGTGTCTCCCAGCGGACATCTATTCCCAACCAACCTTATCTATCCACACTCACCCTGTGCATCCAGCCTCTCCTCCATGCCCCCGCACAGTGCCCCCCAACTGGCATTGACCGAGAGCCTGGTGAGAGGGGAGGAGTTTTGGGGCTCCTCTAACCTTCCCCGTGCCTAGTACTCCCATTCTTATCTATCCATGCTCACCCTGTCCATCCAGTTTCTCCTCCATGCCCCTCACAATGTCTCCCAGCTCACATCGATCCAAAGCCTGGGGGAGGGGGGGCGTTTTGAGGCGCCTCAAATCCTTCCCCGTGCCTCAAATCCTTCCCCGTGCCTCAAAGCCTACTATTCCCAACCAACCTTATCCATCCATCCATGCTCACCCTGTGCATCCAGTTTCTCCTCCATGCCCTTAACAGTGTCCCCCAGCTGACACCTGTCCAGAGCCTGCGGAAGAGGGGAGGGGAGAAGGGGAGGAAGGGCAGGGGTAGAGAAAGACGAGGAGAGGAGACAGGACAAAGTGGGGAATGGGATGTACAGCAGGCAGGCAGCAGTTGATCTTTTTTCTTTTTTGAGTCGACTCAAAAGTCATTAAGGAGGGAATGGAATGCACAGCAGGCGGGCAAACCTGAGGCTGTCTTGATATTAATCAACCTCACCTCAAAATCAGCTAGGGGTAGACTGACTCAGGGCTAGACTGGTGTTTTGAGTCGACGCAAAACACGGGTAGACTGGAACTAAGAAATCATCACTCAGATCGCCACTAGCTCCCGACCGACTCCCCAAGGAGACTCACCTCCCGTATCTGAGCGTCACTGTATTCCCCCGCCGGGTCAAGATTCATTCCAATAGACCCCCCCCCCTGGAACAGCGTCGGGTCCTGCGGTATGATCAACAATCTCATGACCCCCCTCCTCCCTCCCCACCCTCCCCCCTCCCCTTCCCCAAGGAGACTCACCTCCCATTTCTGGGCATCACTGTATTCCCCTGCAGGGTCTAAATTCTTTCGGATAGACCCCTGGAACAGCGTCGGGTCCTGCAGTATGATCGTGAATCTCTTTACCCTTCCACCGCCCAGACTCACCTCCCATATCTGGGCATCATTGTATTCCCCTGCAGGGTCCAAATTCATTCGAATAGACCCCTGGAACAATGTCGGGTCCTGTGGTATGATCGCCAGCCGTCCCCTCAGGTCGCCCAGTCCGATGCTTCCAATGTCCACGTCATCAATCACCACCCTGCCGCCCGCAGGCTCGACCAATCGGAAGAGAGCAGCGACGAGCGTTGGCTTGCCGCTGCCAGTGCGGCCCACAATCCCGACCTTGTGCCCGCCTGGGATCGTTACAGTCACGCCCTTGAGCACCATTGGCAGGTCTGGCCGGTACTGGACCTGGAGGAGGACCAATAGGTGAGAGAAAGAAGGAGAGAGGGAGACGGAGACAGAACAGGAGACCTGGTTGACTTGGTTGACTCGAAGGCCATTACACTGCCACGTGTAATCCATGAAACCACACCCACCTGACGACACTCAAACCAAACCACCCACCTGAAGGCCGTCAAACCCCACTCGCCCCTGGTGCGGCCAGTGCGGGGGAGGCCGGTGGTGGGGGAGAACGAGGGGGGCTTCAGAGGGCACAGCGGGGTGTGAGAAGTGGATGATTCGCTCCACTGAGACCATATGGTTCTCCATGCCCGCACCACCACACTGAAACCCCTCAAACCGCACCCACCTGAAGGCCGTCAAACCCCACTCGCCCCTGGTGCGGCCAGTGAGGGGGAGGCCGGTGGAGGGGGAGAACGAGAGGGGCTTCGGAGGGCACGGCGGGGTGGGAGAAGTGGAGGATTCGCTCCACTGAAACCATCTGGTTCTCCAGGGAACACCACGCCCACACCAAACTGCAACAACCCTCTCAACCCACCCGCCACAACATAACCCCCCAAACCTCCCACCGAAAACCCTCAAACCGCACCCATTTGGAAGCTGTTTTTCTCTAGGCGCCTCAGAAATCTCACCCACCTGAAGACCCTGAAACTCCACTCGCCCCCTGTTTGGCCGATCCAGCCGTGGGCGGTGGCTGGGAATGACAAGAGGAGCTTCAGAGGGCACGGCGGGGTGTGAGAAGTGCAGAATTCGCTCCACTGAGACCACCTGGTTCTCCATGCCTGCACTGCACCACACTGAAACCCCTCAAACCGCACCCACCTGAAGGCTGTCGAACTCCACTCGCCCCTTGTTTGGCCAATAAGGAGGCGGCCGGTGGCTGGGAATGACGAGGGGGGCTTCAGAGGGCACAGCGGGGTGGGAGAAGTGGAGGATTCGCTCCACTGAGACCATCTGGTTCTCCAGGGAGCACCACGCCCACACCACGAAGAAGAGCGCCTGGGAGAGAGCAAGGCCGTAGGAGAGAGACATGCCCGCCAGGCCTGGAGGAAGGGGGGGGAGAGAGCAAGAGTGAGGAAAAGGAGGGGGTGGTAGGGCGAGGCAGGGGAGACAGAGTAGGACGTATGGTATGGGACTAGGTTCCCCACCCACTTGTATGAAGATTTGTTTTGAGACGTCTCAAAACAGAGTATGACGTATGGTATGGGACTAGGTTCCCCACCCACTGAGACCATCTGGTTGTCCAGGGAACACCACGCAAAGAAGAGCACTTGGGAGAGAGCAGGGCCGTAGGAGAGGGACATGCCCGCCAGACCTGAGGGTTTAAGGCAAGAGGAGATAGCAAGCGAGGAGAAAGAGGAGAGGACAGGAGGGCGGTGAGGTGAACACGAGTGCAGAAATGCAGAGCAGCAGAGAAGCGAGCAGCGATCACGGAAGAGAGCACAAGTGCGGAGTAGCAGAAGCGAGTAGAAGCAGAAGCGAGAATTCACTTCCAATAACACACGCACACCCTCTTTCAGGCCAATCCTACCTGGTGAAACGACAGAGGGCGGCAGCAGGGTGAGCATGAGAGCAGAGAAGCAGAGCAGCAGCGATCCCAGCAGCTCAAGGCGGAAGCCCAGCCACTCGACGGCGCCTCTGCTGCAGAACGCCACTCGTGTGTTGCTGTCCACCCGCGCTGCACTCGTGCGCGCGAACCGAGATTCTTCACCAAATGCCCGAATCACCGCTGCCCCGGATAGCGACCTGGGTGGGTAGACGGAGAGTGGGTGGGTAGACGCATGATGAGGTAGTAGTGCTGCCGAACCTTGTATTGCCTTGTCGGGAGAAAGAGTGGAACTTATATAGAAAGGCTGAGCACCGATGGTCCGTGTGCTCACTTGCTGAAATGCTCGATAATGGGCATGGTGACGCCATCAAAGCGAGACGCATGGTCAGGTGGTAGTGCCGCATGGTCAGGTGGTTGTGCCGCATGGTCAGGTGGTTGTGCCGCATGGTCAGGTGATTGTGCCGCATGGTCAGGTGGTTGTGCCGCATGGTCAGGTGGTTGTGCCGCATGGTCAGGTGGTAGTGCCGCGAGTGTGACTTCTAAGGAACGGTACTCCATACCATATAGCGAAAGCGGCTCTATTGCTTTTCATCCAGGACTCACTCGCTGAAGTGCTCGATTATGGGCGACTTGGTAACCCCATCCAGGCGAGAGAGCTCCCTAGAAGTTGTCAGGTAGTATTCCTGGGTGACAGAGAGGGGACATGTGGCATGCAGTGATTGGGTTGAATGTCAGGGCAGGAAGACGGAGTCGTAGGGAGCAAGCGGGAGAAGTGAGAGAGAGAGAGAGAGAGAGAGAGAGAGAGAGAGAGAGAGAGAGAGAGAGAGAGAGAGAGAGAGAGAGAGAGAGAGAGAGAGAGAGAGAGAGAGAGAGAGAGACACACGCACACGCAAGAGCAGCAAGTGGTTAAACTAGTGATTGCATAATGGGCGTGATACTTACCTTGCATGTGTGTACACCGCTGCTATCAATGAAAGGGCCATTAGAGAGACAAACACGCAAGGGCAGCAAGCGGTTACCTGGTCAGAGAATGAGCAAAGGAAAGTGGTTGCTCACCTGATAAGAGAAGTAGAAGTAAGCGAGGGGCACGATCGCAAAGAGCAAATGCCAGGTGACTGAGAGGATGGAGAAGAAAGGAGTGGTTATCAGTGCAGGGAGAGGGAGCGGAGAGAAAGCAGTAGTTTCTTGCCTGATATGAGAAGTAGAAGTAAGCGAGGGGCACTATGGCAAAAAGCACAGGCCAGGTGATGAAGGAGGTGACTGAGAGAATGCCGAGCAGCTGGAAGAGAAGAGAGAGAACCGTGCCAAAGCGGAACGGGAGGTCTAGATCCACTGTTGCCTGGTCTGTTGACGCCTGTGGAGGAATGAGGGTGAAAAAGGGTGCATTTGAGGGTTCAAGCAAAGGTGGACGAAAAGGGAGAGCACGGCATGGTGCCGAAGGGGTATGGGAGGTCTAGATGCACTATTGCCTGGTCTGTTGACGCCTGTGGGCGGGAGGAGGGAGAGCAAGGGAGAGCATAGTGAGTGAACTGAAAAGAGAGCACGGAGGTCCAAATCCACTGTTTGTGAGGATTCCAAGCAGCTGGATTTACCGCACAGCACAACCACAACATTAACTTCACCGCACGACTGGTAGTGGCTCACCGCTCTACAGACCTAACTTCACCGCTCGGCACATTAAACCCTGGAACTACTCCCTCGGGATAGCACTCTGCCTGCGGGAGTGGAGTCAAAGAAGCTCATTGGAGCTCGGAAGACAGCACGCAGCATGCGTGCGAACAGGACCTGAGCCGTCTCCCACCCCATTCAGGACACGACAGGTGCTACTTCACACCTGTTTACCGCACTGCACACCTGGTTTCACCACACAGCACCACCCAGCAGCACCACTCACCCGGGATAGCACTCGTCCTGCTGGCGTGGAATCAAAGAAGCTCAGGGGCGCTCAGAACACGGCGTGCAGCATGCGGGCAAAGAGGGCTTGAGCCGTCTCCCACCCCATCCAGGACACCGCTACCGTTCGCAGCAGCACAGAGAGCACACTGCCTAGTGCTAGTAGCACGTCTAACTTCACCGCACAGCACCGCATTGCACCACTCACTAGCAGCAGCACAAAGAGCACACTGCCTAGTGCTAGTAGCACATCTAACTTCACCGCACAGCACCGCATTGCACCACTCACTGGCAGCAGCACAAAGAGCACACTGCCTAGTGCTAGTAGCACGTATACCCGCATGCACCACACAGCACATCAATACCAACCGCACTGAACCACTCACTCGAGAAAGCACTCGCCCTGCAGGAGTAGAGTCGAAAAAGGCCATGGGCGCCCGAAAAACAGCATGCAGCATGAGGGAGAACAGGGCCTGCGCCGTCTCCCACCCCATCCAGGACACCGCTACCGTTCTCAGCAGCACAAAGAGCACACTGCCTAGTGCTAGTAGCACGTATACCCGCAGAAAGCCCACCGGGGTGATGGAGGGAGCTAGCAGATCGATGGGAGAGGAAGAAGTGGTGAGAGCAGAGGAGGGTAGGGAAGAGGGAGGGGTGGTGGTGGAGGAGGAGGAGAAGGAAAAGGACGAGGAAGATGAGGAGGTGGATGTGTAGGTGGCGAGCCACCAATCAGAGCCGATCTGCAGCGCCTGCCAGAGGATCTGGACCAATAGGAGCGCGGGGATGGGCCAGCATCCAAGGGCTGTGGTGAGATATGCCCAGTACACGGCAAAGGCCACTCGCCCTGACGACCTCTCCTCCTCACTTATCAGCTGGCCTGCTCTCGCCGTGGCACCACTCTCCTTGTTCCTCCGCCTGCTGCTGCGCCTGCTGCTGCTGCTGACGCCACTGCGACCATTGCCATTGCCGTGCTTCTCTGTCTTGTCTGACTTCTCGTCCTGCCACTCAACCACCCTCACTTCTGCTGCTTCTTTTTGCTTCCCTTTCCCTCGATCACCTTGTGAGGTTCGGTTAACATCAGATGTAGCAGAATAGGTGGAGGAGGGACCGGTGATAGGGGCAGAGGAGGAGGGGGAGGAGGAGGAGGAGGAGGAGGAGCGAGAAACTGCATCCGCAGAGGAAGGTGGAGCTTCAGCAGCAGATGAGGCAGATTTAGCAGCAGCAACACCACCATCACCAGCAGAACTAGCAGCAGCAGCAGTGGGAGCAGCGGTGCTGTTGGCAGCAAGGGAGTGCATGGCGTCGGTATGAGCATCCACAAGGGAGGAGAAGTCCGTTCCCTGCGCCAGCAGCTCGTCATACCGCCCACTCTGCACAATGCGCCCCTCTCTCATCACCTGTGCATGTGGGGGGTTGGTGGGGGGTTGGGAAGGAGAGGATGGTGGAAGAAGCAGCTGCCAGCGGCGTCAGCACATGTGGCATCAGCACATGTGGCATCTACCCTAGCCTCAAGAAAATCAAATCCTTGAAACAAGTCAACATGGTCAACGCATTCAATCAAGGGGCGGCAACAACAGATTGAGGTGCATGGTTGGCAGGTAGGAAGGCCATCAGGTTTGTCACCAGGCTGTTGAAAGCCAACATGATTAAACGAATTAAATGAGCTGACAGAGTCAACAGAGTCAAGAGAGTCATGCAAGAGGCGGTACCAGGATGAGGTCCATAGCTGGCAGGAAGTCCAGCAGTGCGTCACCAGGCTGTTGAGAGTCAACAGAATTAAATCCTTTAACCAAGTCAACAGAGTCAGCAGATTCGGGCAAGGAGCAATAGTACCAGGATGAGGTCCGTAGCTGGCAGAAAAGTTTACCTGGTGTGTCACTAGGCCGTTGGAAGCTGGACAGAGACATCAAAAGCGAGTCAAGCAAGTCAACAGAGTCAACGTCTGAAAGCATGAAGGCAGTACCAGGATAAGGTCCATCGCAGGCAGGAAGTCCACCTGGTGTGTCACCAGAATCACAGTCTTCCCCTTCAGGCCCCTCAGCACACACTCCTGGCACGAGGGGAGCAGAGAGGGAAGAGGGGAGAGAGGAGAAAGGTGGGGGTGTTGGAAGACTGCCTATCTCTGACTGAGGCATATCGAAGCAGTTTTCCCAGAGAGGCCTTTCAGCACACACGCCTGGAAGTAAGAATCGAAGGAGAATGATGAAAAATCGTTGTTTGTGTGGATAGGGGGGCATTGATTTTTTAGTCGACTCAAAAATCGACTAACTACACGCGGATAGGGGGGCATTGGTAGGTAGTAGTACTGTGGCAGTGCAGACCAGAGTGAATCAGCAAACTTCCAGTAAAGAGCTGCGAGCCAGTGTGAGCATCAACGGCACTGAACGGATCATCCAGCAAAAACAACTCCGCTCCTCCTTTTCCCTCCGCTCCTCCCTTTCCCTCCATGCCTCTTTTCCCCTCCTCCACACCCCCGACTCCCTCCGCCCTCCCCCCCTCCACCCTCCCCCCCTGCTCTCCTCCTGCTTCTCCATCTTCCATGTCTCCTGCCATCCCCCCTCCCCCAGTTGACCCTTCCCCAGTTCCCCCTCCCCCAGCATACATGGCCCGGGCCAGTTGTATCCGCTGCTTCTGCCCGCCGCTCAGATTCACCCCTCTCTCGCCTATCTGCGTGGCGTCCCCATGGGCCAGCAGTGCCAGGTCGGGCTGTAGCGCGCACTGCTGCAGCACCCGCCTGTAGCGCGCCCGATCCATGGGCTGCCCGAACAGAATGTTGTCGCGGACGGTGGCGTTCTGGATCCATGCGGACTGTGGCACGTAGGCCGTACGACCCACCAGGGTGACCTGACGTGCCAGAATGTGCGGAGGTGGGGGATTCTGGATCCATGCGGACTGTGGCACGTAGGCCGTACGACCCACCAGGGTGACCTGACGTGCCAGAATGTGCGGAGGTGGGGGAGAAGATAGTGTGGGAGGGAGAGGTGGCGTTCTGGATCCATGCGGACTGTGGCACATAGGCCGTACGACCCACCAGGGTGAACTGGAAACGGAAGAACGTGGGGAGAGGTGGGGGGGGGAGAAGTTTGAAAGCGGAAAGGTTGTGGGGGAAAGGGCGGGGGAGGGAGAGGTGGCGTTTTAGATCCACACGGACCGTGGCACGTAGGCCTTGCGGCCCGCTATGGAGACCTGAAATGCCAGAAACACACAGTGACAACAGGGCACACTCACAGCAGGGAAATGCCGTCGCTTCTCACCTTGCCTCCCATCTTGGGCATCTCCCCTAGAAGGCACGCCAGCAGGCTCGACTTGCCCGCCCCCACCGCTCCACACACAGCCACCCTCATCCCCTTTTTAATCTCCAACTCGATTCCATATAGTGTCGGCTTACTAGCAACCCCCTCCCAGCTAAACACACCATTCTGCACCCGCACCGCCACATCATTTGCCCCACCCTTCACTCCATCCCTCCTCTCTTCCCTTCCTTGTTTTTGAGTCGACTCAAAAATAGGCCCACCTTTCACTCCATCCCTCCTCTCTTCCCTTCCCTGTCCGCCACTCCCCACCCCTTCCTTCGGGCCATTCATGGACGTCACAACATCACTCTGAATCCCCGCCCCTCCCTTCCACCCATCCACTCGGGTAACAGCGTCGGCCTGAATCTCCTCTTCTAGAAGGAAGGTGGTGACTCGCTTGAGAGACACCATGGCCTGGGCTAGAGCCGCCACCACTGAGGGGAATGACCGTAGAGGCTCCTGTACGAGGAAGGGGAGAGGGGGAGGGTGAGGGGGGTGGTGAAGAGGAGTTTTTTGAAGCGCCTCAGTACTCGCACGTCTCAACATGGGCCTGAATCTCTTCTTCTAGAAAGAAGGAGGTGACTTGCTTGAGGGACATCATTGCCTGTGCTAGAGCCGCCACCGGCCTTTCCTCCCAACCCAATCCCCTCACCTGAAGAATGCGGAAGGTGGCGATGGCAGTGAAAACAGCCCCCGGGGTGAGCGGCACACCCACGAGCACCATGGCACTAAGAACAGAGACCCAAGCCCGATTTTCCCCTGTCTCAAACTCCTCTCTTTCCACCCGCCCCCCCCTCACCTGAAGAATGCGGAAGGTGGCGATGGCAGTGAAAACAGCCCCCGGGGTGAGCGGCACACCCACCCATTAACACATTTGCAGTAAGAACAAAAACCCAGCCCCGATTTTCCCTGCCTGAAACTCCTCTCTTTCCCATCCCCCCTCGCCTGTAAGATGCGGAAGGTGGCGATGGCAGTGAAAACAGCCCCCGGGGTGAGCGGCACACCCACGAGCACCATGGCACTAAGAACAGAGACCCAAGCCCGATTTTCCCCTGTCTCAAACTCCTCTCTTTCCACCCGCCCCCCCCTCACCTGAAGAATGCGGAAGGTGGCGATGGCAGTGAAAACAGCCCCCGGGGTGAGCGGCACACCCACGAGCACCATGGCACTAAGAACAGAGACCCAAGCCCGATTTTCCCCTGTCTCAAACTCCTCTCTTTCCACCCGCCCCCCCCTCACCTGAAGAATGCTGAAGGTGGCGATGGCAGTGAAAACAGCCCCCGGGGTGAGCGGCACACCCACCCATTAACACATTTGCAGTAAGAACAAAAACCCAGCCCCGATTTTCCCTGCCTGAAACTCCTCTCTTTCCCATCCCCCCTCGCCTGTAAGATGCGGAAGGTGGCGATGGCAGTGAAAACAGCCCCCGGGGTGAGCGACACACCCACGAGCACCATGGCACCAAAGGTTCCCACTGACACGGCCAGAGGCGACAGCCACAGCAGACAAATGTTCGCCGCCCCTATCGCCATGTACCTGGGTGGGGGGATTGGACGAATGGGGTGGAAATGGGAAGGAGTGAGGGATGAAGGGAAACGGTAGAGGAGGAAAAATGCTGCTCGCACATGCGTAAATGAAAGTCGGAGTGATACTTTGACCGACTAGTAACAAAAGCGAAAGTCAGAGTAGATTTTTTAATGCTGGTTTGATGCGGATTTGCTGTGGATTTGCTGCTGTAAAAAGCATGGGAGCGAAATAAGCACGCGTGTAAGAGATAACGGCCAATACTTTCCCAGACAATACGCTCTCCTCCCTCCTCCTTCCCCAACACACCGTACACACGCATACCTAGCGAGCCAGCCGGCCTCAGCGCCCCGCAGAGATTTGATTTGATTCTCGAAGAAGGGCTGCCAGGCGTACAGCTTAATGACCTGCATGGAGGAAAGCGCCTCAGAGGTGGCCTTCATGCGGCGGTCCTTGGCTTTAAGGATGCTCGCCACTGTGGCGCGCAGCGAGGCTGCTATGAGGAGGTTGAGCAGCAGCGCCGCCACCATCACTGCCAGCCCCGCCACCATGCTCGCCCCCACCACCTGAGAGCGGAAGGGGGGAGTGGGTGAACGGGGGAAAGCGGGAAGTGAGGAGAGGAGAAGGGGAGCAGGGGAGCAGGGGAAGAGGGGATGAGGGGGGAGTTCAGGTTGAGAGAGTGAGTGTGTGTGTGTGCGCATGTGTGTGCATCTGCGTGTGCGTGTGTGTGCGCATGTGCATGTGCATGTGCGTGTGCGTGTGCATGTGCATGTGCGTGTGCGTGTGTGCGTGAGTCCATGCATGTTTCACACCTGGAAGAGAATGACGAGCGCAATGCTGATCTGCAGCGGCAGCACCCACACGTTGTGCAGCTGCAGCATGAGGTCTGCCAGGCGCTGCACGTCAGTGGACATGTAGTTCACCACCTCGCCCACTGTGTGCCGCTGCTTTGCCCTGCTTGATAGCCGCAGGCCTTTCTCATACAGGGCTCCCACTAGTGCTGCTCGAATGTCCAGACCCAGCGCCTGTGGAGGGAAAGCAGGCGAGGGAGAGGGGAGAGGGAGAGGAGAGAGGGAGAGGAGAGCAAGCAGACCAAGAGGGGAGAGCAAAGAGGGGAGAGGTTAGAGGGGAGAACAAAGAGGAGAGAGCAAAGAGGGGAGAGCAAAGAGGAGAGAGGAAAGAGGGGAGAGCAAAGAGGAGAGAGCAAAGAGGGGAGAGGAAAGAGGAGAGAGGGAGCTGGTGAAGCCACAAGTCTGCCAGAGGCAGGCGCTGAACGTCAGTGGACATGTAGTTCACCACCCCGCCCACTGTGTGCCGCTGCTTGGCCCTGCTTGATAGCCGCAAGCCCTTATATCAACTAGCCCGGCTGCATGAGCAGCCCTCACCTGCGCCTGGAAGTTGTACTGATGCCCGACAGCAGTCTCTGTGGCCTTGGCCAGCAGCAGCAGCGCCACGAGCGCCACGCCCTCGCCTTCAAACCGCTGCTTGCCCGCAGCGACGTCCACGAAACGTGAGAGCAGCAGCGGGCCCGCGTACATCACCGCACACTTGAGCAGCACGAGTAGGCCAGTGGTGAGGAGGGGTCGCCAGAAGCAGGCTAGCAGCGCACGGGCTACTGAGGGCGCTTTGTTGCTGGTGATGCTGCTGATGGTGCTGCTGATGGTGCTGATGGTGGTGGAGATGAAACGGGGGAGAATGGAGATGCGAAGCTGCTGCTGGCTGTTCTGCTGCTGCGGTTGCTTGTGCCCGTGCCGCTGCTGCTGGGTTTCTAGCAGTGGAGTTGTAATGGTGGCATCTGTGCCACTAGTAGCAGCAGCAGCAGCAGCAGTATTAGTATCAGCAGCAGCAATACCGGCATTAACACCAGCAGCAACACTGCTAGCAGCTGCACCAGCAGCAGCAGTGGTACCCTCAACAGCAGCAGCAGTACCTGCAGTCAATGCAAGCTGTGTCTGCCAGCAGGCATCAAAGGCGCGGAACATGGACTCACATCCCTGGGAAGATGGCAGGCACGGCACGTCCTCTAGTGAAATCACATGCCGCTTCTCATGATCCCTTGGTTTCAAATCGCTGCTGTGGCTATCCCACTGTCTCTGCTGCTGCTGCTGCTGCTGCTGCTGAAGCAGCAGATTCTGGTTGCCGGTTTCGAGAAGAGGAGAGACCCAGGAGAAGGCGAGGAGAGACAGCCAATTTGCACTGGCGTAGGGAGAATCCTGCATGTCCCTGTTTCCTTCTTGCTTTCCCGCTTCCATCTCAGAACCACCATCCTCACTGGTATCAGATTCATTGCCCTCTTCTGAAATGCTATCATCTCTCAGCGAAAGGAAAGCACTCCCGTTTACCAGCCTATTCTCCAAACCCTCCTCAACACTACTCTCACCCACCTCCTGCTGTTCCCTCTCGTCAGCCATCTCTTCTCCTTCCTCTCCTCCTCTCCTCTCTCCCATTCCTCGGTCCAAACGAGCCCATCCAGGCCTACCCAGCACACCAACCACCCCCAAGAAAAGAGCCAATGGCAAGCTGCCAAGTGTCAAGAAATCGCTCCACGCTGTCACCTTCTCTTCCTTCCAATCTCCGACTCTCGACCCCACACCGGAACCCATACCAGCCCCCAAACCAGATCTCAAACCAGATCCCGAGCCAGATCCCGAACCAGATCGCAAACCAAAAACCAAACCAAAACCTTCCCAAACGTTTCCCCCTTGTCTCTTGCTCCAAAGCCGTAGCAGAATCACCATGGAGAGCAGCAGCGTGAGCACAGCGTTCTGAAACAGCCACACGCGTGCCGAACCAACAACAGTCACATCTCGCCTTTTCTGGAAGAGCAGAAGAACCCCTGCTGCCAGCGCGTACGTGACTGCCTGCCCTGCTGCGTATGCCAGCTCATGTGGTGGTGCAGGGACATGCCCTGCTGCCGAAAAGGCCGAAAAGGCGGAGAGTATCTCCCACATAAGCAGCCCCGCCCAGCAGATAGAAGCAGCAACAGAGAGGAGGAGCTCCGGCCAAAACAGCATGCCTGCACGCCACACCTCCCCTCTACTCTGCTCCCTGCCTTCCCTCCGTTGCTCCCATTTCTCCCCCCTCCCACCTGCCCTGCCTTGCCTCCGTCCCTTCACTCTCCTCTCAGCACTCCCTCCCGTGCCTGTCGCTCTCTCCTCACCATTCTGTGCTCTGCGTGGTAGGCTGTCTGGCTTGGCACTAGGTTCGGAATAAGGTTTGGGAAGGATAAGTATGTGGGAGAGGGTGGCGAGGAGGAGGAAGGAGGAGAGAAAGAGGAAGGAAGCGTGCTGGAGGCAAGGGGAGAGGGAGAAGATGTGGATCCATTTGGGCAGAAAGCTTTCTTTGCCTGCCCGTTGGAAGGTTGATGAAATTTCTTCAAGGGAGCTCCAGGGAATGGGGGAGGACGGGTGGAGGAGTGAGGGGGGAGAATCGAGGGAAAACGGGTAGAGCTGATGCTGATGTGGCAAAAGAAGATGGTGCCACGTGGGATTCTGGAAGGCGTTAGCTTGGGAGGGTGTGAAATCGGATGGTGATGCTGACGATGCCATGGATGACAGGGTGGCATTGCGCAGCTGACTGATCTGCTGGCTGTGACTGGGTAGAAGGTTGGTGCTGATGCAGGCTGGAGTGTACGGGTCATTCGGGCCAAAGAAGCTGGCCCAGAACGCTGCAAACGCAGGAGAGGGGAGTTGAAAGGGGGAGACGGCGATCAGGTGGCTGTGACTGATGAGAGGGTCGCTGCTGCTGGAGTTTACGAGACATTTGGACCAACGAAACTGGCTCAGCAAGCTGCAAACGCAGGAGGGTGGGAGGGGGGGTGTAGAGGGGGGGGGCTGGGGGTTTTGAGAAAGAGATTGATCATTTCACAGGAGATGGGAAAGCAGGGAGGGATGAAGTGGGTTAGGTTGAGGGAATGGATTGAAACTTCATCTGATAAACGACCGAAGAGCTTCTAGCTTAGGATTAAAGGAGGGTGGGAAATAAACGGAAAGCTATCAAGCAACGCACCCATGACAAGTTTACTGCATCCTGCCAGAAATACTGCATCCTGCCAGAATCACTGCATCCTGCCAGAATCACTGCATCCTACCAGAATTACTGCATCCTGCCAGAATTACTGCATCCAACCAAAATTACTGCATTCTGCCAGAATTACTGCATCCTGCCAGAATTACTGCATCCTGCTAGAACTACTGCATCCTACCAAATTTACTGTATCCTGCCAGAGTTCACTATTGCACGATCCCAGTCCTAATCTAATCGCATGGGTCTCACATCCGTTTGCGGTCCAGCCAGGTCCAGTAGCCATGGAGAAGAGGAGCGAGGTGACGAGCATGTGAGCACCAGCCAACAAGCTTTGACCACCACCAGCAGCAGCAGCAGCAGTAGCCGCCGACGCGGTCGCCATCTGGAGGAGGGTCGGAAAATATCGCGTGACGTCACTTGAAGTCACCACAGGAGCGTAAAACGGGAAGGCTTAACAAGTGTCCTGGTAATTGTGTACATGGAGTTATCATTGTGTCCTATCTCAAATATCTCGGTGAACAAAAAGAGGTGATACAGCCTATACAAGAAAAACACATTTCTAGAAAGCGAAATTTTTGCTATTTATTGTGCTCTGTAATTCCGTCTCGAAAATGAATCCCTCACCTTGCTGAAATTGTTCTCGAACGTCCGAGTTATAAAACTCCTACAGGGCAAAAATCTCGATTCTTTCAGACCACAGGTTTCAGCGATATCATCAGGAAATGTACACCGTAGCAAGACTTTTGAGCGAAAGGGATGAATTTACACCTCAAGGAAGGAATGCGATTAGCTAATGTCCCGCGATCAATTAGTTAATGGCCAGCCCTACTCTAGCAACCAGAAGGTTGCTCAATTACCCTTCACTCTAAGCCAAAATCCACTGCTGCAACCAAAAGGACGTCCAAGTCACACTCGAACAGCCTTCTTCACTCATCTCGTGGAACATCATAAATGTTCGTCCGTCGATCCTACCGGCTCCAACGCCTGCCATTATAGGCTGGCATCAGGTTAGTAGTAGACCAGCTAACCCTTACTGCGTCTCACACGTCCGTTCATGGCTACCCGTTCATTAGAGCCCACGGAATGTCAATGTTGAACTCTTTCAGGGCTAGCAAATTAGGTTCAGGCGCTGCAAAGCATAAATTCTTGAGAACTGAAGGTGTGAGCATTGCCATGAACCAGTTCAGGAATCAGAGGTGGATTATGTGCGAAAGTAACCACAAGAGCGAAGGTCTTGAATGCAGCTCGCGAGCACGCGTCACCAATGGTTAGCTTGCGCAATATTTCGCTGATAGACTTGGTGCACCAATCCCTGGGTACAGGAGGCTGTTCCATGATTGCTTCCTTTCGCGCTTGTTCGTTTCACGCCTCGCGCACCAAACCTGGTTTTGCTTGAGCGGTGCATGTGCGTGGCTCACGCTGAGTGGCTCCTGGAGGCTGGGAAAGAACCTACCCGTGGACGACACGTACAAATCCATGCGAGGTTCAGTGGGTTTGGATGAGGTGAACGTGGATTGCGCTTACCCCAAAAAACAAAACTCGGGTTACGGATATGGCGAATGTCGCCACGTAGAATTTTACATCGCGATGACTGGTTACCGTCTTCGTTTCAGAATTCTGGCCACCTGCGACTGCAACCCGCTTCCTTTCCATCACTTTCTTCCGCCCCACTTCGATGGGTCCACCCACCCAACCCCCAAGTGAAATTCACTTGCCTGCATCCACACAGAGGGGGCAGCTAACTGGGAAAACAGCACGTCCTCCCTAGCACATGTCGGCTAAAATCAGTAATGAATTTGCAGTTGGAAACCTAATGCAAACCTGAACCACCTATATCTTTATTGCATGAGACACCACATCATCCTATGTTTGATCCCATGCTTAGCACTGGGATGGATGTCACACTGGAATTCCTGTCTTCCCAATCCACGAGTTCAGTGAGAGGAAGTTATTGGGAGAGTACTTGCTGACTTGTGATAATGAAGAAACCACGCCAGGCCTCGCCCAGGACACTCTTGATGACTGGACACCACTCCCCCTGCTGCCATACTCCGCCAAGAACGGCTTCCCACCAAACGTCTCAGAGATTTTCCACGGCATCCACCCATTCTTGTTCATCTTCTGCAAAGCCAGCACAAAACGTAAAGAGAGTGAAGAAATGGAAACAATGGTGTCAACAGGAAAGAGCACGGCAGTACAGAGCCTAAAATGTACCGACCATTCGCACACAAGCGACACAAGGCAGCCACATTCTGGAAGAGCTCCACACAATGGTTCCACTCACCGCAGGCAGTTCAGTGTTGATAAACACCATCGTAGCATACTCCTTCCACGGCCGACCCAAGTACACATCGCCATAGTCACCATTCACTTCACTGTCAACCACCACAAGCCCACAGAGCGCTCCAGACTGGTAACAACCCGAGGCCAAAACCGTCGTCGTATAAGTTGGAGATTTAAGCGCATTGAGTGTAGACGATTGCACCAACGCAGCGCCGTAACCAAAAATAAAGTCCACAGTGCCCTCGATAATGCAGTTTTTGATGTAGTGACGGCCGGTGGAGCAGAAGAGTGTATCTTGGTATCCGGTAACCTTGACCTGGTACAGTGCAGCCTGATCGGAGTCCAGGCGCAGAGCAACGGCTTGTAGTCCCGCGGGACCAGCGGTGTTGCGAATGGTCATGTACTTAGCGACAAAATTGTTACCGTTTACGCCTGAATAGCAGAACAGAAGACGAGGGAGAGAATAAAACGTGAAAATACACGCAAGGAAAATGTAATTGAGAGACGTGAGGCAGGAAAAGGAGGGCGGAGAGAAGAGCGGGGAAGGGGAGAAGCAGCTGGGGCCGGGTGGGCTGAAGGTGGTGGGGGAGTTGTGAGGATTTGTTGGAGTGTCGGATTGAAAGCACACATATGTCATGTCAAACTTATGCTGCTTACCGATAGTGGCAGAAGTGATGATATCGTAGCCTGACGAGTAGCTGGCGGACCCAGTAATGATGGTCTTGTCAATGCCATCCCCGATAAGAGTAATCCCCTTCTTGTATATAGACACCATCTCGTTGTACACTCCAGCCTTGATATAAATCACGGAATTGTCCGACACCGCATTGACAGCGTCCTGTAGCTTCTTATAGTCGCCGCTGCCGTCTTGCGCGACAGTCTTATCCGCCTTTACAGACGCTGTTCGGACTGCTCTGTACCCGGTATTCGCCCGAATAGGAGCCTTCACGGGACTCTTAGCGGGACTCTTGGCGGGGCTCTTTGCGGGACTCTTAGCGGGACTCTTTGCGGGACTTTTAGCGGGACTCTTAGCGGGGCTCCTAGGCGGGCTCTTTGAGGTTACTTGACTGCCCTGGGCACTGCCACTCTTAATGGTCTTCTGGTTCTTATGGCCACCCGTTCCCTTCGGATGGTGTCCCTTATCTGGCTCGTACCTCCCAACGTTCTTCCCTCCCTTACCGCCCACGCCTGGCGGGTGGTGACCCACCGGCCTCCCCTTCACGTCTACCTTCGATTTCGGCGTCGGCTTCTTCTTATCCCCGTTACTGGCACTAGCGAGCTGGGATTGAAACACCTCGGTCAAGGATTGGTGCCGGTCGAAAGCCTCGCCAGGTGGCTGATACTGATCGGTCGAGAGCGCAGCGGAAAAGGCGCGCTCGATCTTAATATTCTTGAGATCAAGGAGGACGGCTCGAACGGCTTTAAGATCGTCAGCCAGGGCAGCAGCGACCGTCTGGAGTTGCCCGATCGTCTTCGCGCTGACGGTGCGGAAATTTGCCTGCAAGGTAATCTCGAGGTAGTTTTCGCTCGACTGAGCGAATCCGACGGCTGCGATTGCTTCGTTGAGCTCCTTACGGTCGATGTTGTTCGGGCCGCCGCGCACGGCGTCGGCGAGATTGCTGGTGGCGGAATCAAGGTTCTTGACGATGAGCGACGCCTGTGAGGGTAGGGAGAGAGGGGTGATAGAACCGGAGATGTTACATGGAATTCACTTTTGAGAATTTTCATAAGTGATTGCTGGTGGCGGAATCAAGGTTCTTGACGATGAGCGACACCTGTGAGGGCAGGGAGAGAGGGGTGATAGAACCGGGGATGTTTCGAGCGTACTGAACTGTCTCCATTGAGACTTTAAGATCAGTCGTGTGTAAGAAACAATTTCGTTCTTCACAGATAACGCCGCCTCTGAGGGCTGCAGCAAGGCCCGAGGGAGTGAGACCTGCAAAGCCCACACGACTGCGTCAGAAATCTTGACGTACCTCCGTCAAGACCCCTCGAAATGCGATGGCGTCCTTTTCCCCGTACTTGACGGCCGAAATACGTTCGTTCAGAGCCGTCGCCTTGCCGGCCACTTCCTCGAGCAGCTCCATTGCCGCTGTTGTCGGGCTTGTCGCGAGGCTTCTTCTTACGGGACGCGAGGCTGCTTGTAGCGCGAACGAAGGCCGCTTGGCTACTCTGACTCTTGCCAGGCCTTGCGCTGAGAGGCCGACGGCAAGGGCTGACGGTATGATGGCTGATAGTGAAGCCAGCAAGAGGATCAGTAACCATTTTGGAAGCTTGTCAATCCGCGACGCCATATTGAAGAGTTGACGTGAATGTGATTGGGTTGTTAATAATAGCATATGTTTCCCGGCAAATCAGTCAGTATCGAGCTGCCTTTCAGAATCAAATTCACCTGGCCCACTAACTGCTGAGAGTTACGATCGTCTCAATCTGGTCATGGTCAGAATGACGATTAGAGGGTGAGTTTGGATGGAAAGGGTTTGCCAAAGATGGAGGAGTCAAAAGACCACTCGCTGGAACTAAGTGGTCTATATCCTATGGTATTATTGAAGAAATCAGCAAAGAAATGGTTTGCTGGCTTCTACGATGGCGTTTCTGACGAGCTTCGGGAGGCAGTATTTTCGGGCCCGATAAAGTACAATGATTCAGGACAGCTATGCAAGACACAGCTGAGCCAAGAGCTATGCAGAACGACTGCGACTTCCGCCTTGGCTTTTGACGTTGCCGCATCTCACGGAAGCCCTGGCATTAGCACCTGCGCCACCAAGAAGTAAGGGAGCGAACTTGAGCCCTTTTGGCACACTCCAAGAGGAACTTCTGTCCGGGAATTGCGGTCGGGAGAGCCGAGGGCGGATCTTGGGATGATGGGAAATGGCGCCGACATGCCTGGGATAAAATCAATGCACGAAGGTGGAGCATTAGGTTTGCCGAACCGCGACGGGACGGAGGAAAAGTGCTAACGGTGACCTGACCAATCACAGATGGTTTGTTTTTTCAATGGTTGGAATTCGTAATGTAAACTGAATGGACGGTCAGATGGAACGCTGGTTGGTTTGGTGATTTGGGCCCCGTTTTGGTGGTGTGGACGTGATTGCGGTCGCCAAGCGGCCCGGACGTGATTGGTTGGCGGTTTGACGTTTGTGTGAAACGCGATTCGTTAGGAAGCAGGCGGGAAGATCATCCGTTGATTGTCCCTCTCATGCGAAGGGTCAAATGACCGCTTTGAAACTCACGAAAACGGACTTTTGCCCCTTCGGATGTCCTCGTTACGGGGAGCATCGTCGACTCACGAAAGGACGAATAATGAAACCGACCTATTACACCAGTTGTAAATCAATTATCGTAAGCCGACCCCACTTCATCATCAGAATGACAAAAGGCCACGTCGACAAACTGACGCACCTTCAGCGCAGCTGGGATAATTTGATTGGTGTACTACTACTGATCGAATCAGGCGTCCTCCAGCCCAGACACCTTGGAATTGGTTCACGCCCACAGCCTTTGGTTGCACTGAGCGAATCAGGCAGGTTTCTGAAACCGCCAGCGAAAACACCACCTGACGGAGTGCAGACGGTATACGGCAGCGATGAATCTGAAAGCCGAACGGCGACTGAAGAGGTATTTTGCAGGGTGTTTTTTCTTCGAGCAGTGCTAGCTTCAGCCGTCTTGGAATTCACTCATAATCACGTGCTCTCTGATTAGTTCTCGTCACTACATGTGAGTTCGTATTGATTACATTCGCGCGAATCTATCCACCGCTCATCATTGTATCAAATTCCTGAGTGATAGGTCAGCTTGCACACCGAACCTCGCCAGGGCTCAGTCAATCGGATTCTGTCTGCAAAGACGTCCGTCAATATGCACGCGTCGCGGTGCTTACCGAAATCGTTACCCTCTTCTTCGAATCCGAGAGCCCCTGTCCTCAACTGCTCATTACTCGACTCTGCTTTCACGGGACGCACTCCGGCGGGAGGGCCAGGTGCAGGAGGTAGCGTCGTGAGCATCGCAGCGGGAACCGCATTTTCAAAACACGTGTCGTTGTACGATAGGACGCCAGCTTCAACGCCAGCTCCTCGGGCGCCATTGTTGCTAGTGGAGTGTCGACGGGGGAGGTCGTCGCCTTATGACAGAGATAGAGAGGGATACAGGGGGGGAGATGGGAAGAGAGAGAGGGGAGGAAACAGGGAGAGAGGCGGGAATGGCGACGTGGGGAGGAGTGGCGGACCGCTGGGTGCGGGTGGTGATAAGGCTGACGTGGCACAGCATCCGTACGCGATAAAAATTGTGACTCCACCAGCCAGAGAATTGGGGATTCATTGCCTTCCTCCGGTGAGCTTATAACGGGGATGCTGTTTCGTTAAAGGTCAAGCAAGGCGTCCGACGCATGGGCGCTACACGGGAAGAGGGTCAGACTATCATACGTATGGGCCTTGAAACTCAGATTCATATGAACAGGGCTACATTCGCCTCGATGCTGTCGTTTGTAGGAGGTAGGTAGCCCATGACTGAAATAACTAATACTAATCTGCAAGTACGAGTTATCGTTACAGTCCCCATTCTCTCCTAGCTGCTTCCCCGCCCATTCCCTCCTGTCCTTCATTCCGTTCCGATCCTCTTCAGAACACGCAGTGCGGCGAGACAGTGGAGATCGAAGGCGAGAGCTACGTGGTGCTGGAAGTGACGTACCTGTACCGGCTGCACAAGGGCCGGTACACCGCCAGGGAGCGACAAGCTCACTTCTAATGCTCCCTTTTTCCCCCAGGACACTCGATACGGTGAGAGGGAGTATAGATTGATTGCGGGAGCTATACGGTGCAGGGAGTAATGAACCCCACTCCCCCACCCTCTCAACCCAGATGCCCTTCCAGACCACCCAGTGCGGCGAAACGGTGGAGATCGAAGGCCAGAGCTACGTGGTGCTGGGAGTGACGTACCTGTACCGGCTGCACAAGGGCCGGTACACCGCCAGGGAGTGGCTATCATATGGGTGATCTGGGTGATGCTGGGAGTGACCATTCCGTTCCCCCGCCTTCTTGCTCCAATGCCCCTCCTTTTCCCCCTCCAGATCACCCAATGTGGCGAGACGGTGGCGATAGAGGGCGAGAGCTACGTGGTGCTGGGTGTGATGGAATTTCTCCCCCACCCTCCCTCCTCTCCTATTCAGAACACCCAATGCGGCGAAACGGTGGAGATAGAGGGCGAGAGCTACGTGGTCCTGGGGGTGACGTATCGGTACCGGCTACACAAGGGCCGGTACACAGCCAGGGAGCGCCAGCTGGACGTGCAGTCCAGAGGAAGGTTCCTCGTGAACATGTACCTCACTGATATGCTGGACAGGTCGTGACAGGCCGTGAGAAAAGGGGATTTGGGTTGTGCTTATGGGGTCGCTTGTAGGCACGAGCTGCGGTGCATATGGCAGAGGGAAAGGCAGTCCTTCCCGAGGACGGTTCCTCGTGAACATGTATCGCAGTGACATTCTCGTGAGGTCGTGACTCGTGAGATTGAGAGTGAAGGGTGCGTGTAGTGGGTAACTCACAGGCACGCGCTGCAGGGTCTGTGGCAAGGGGTTTTGAACAGCGGGACGTGCAGTATACAGGAAGGCTCCTCGTCAACATGTACGTTAGTGACTTGCTGGACAGGTCGTGAAACTGGTGCTGTAGGCTGCATGCAGTGAGAACCTGAAAGCTGCACGCTGCGGAATCTGTGGCAAGGATTCATGACCCAAGGGGGGTTTCTTCGTAAGGCAGCCTTACTGATATGCTGGACAAGCCGTGAGTTTGGGATTGTGGGATTGTGGGGGTCAGATTGTGTTGGGTGGCTTATAGGCACATGCTGCAGCGGACAAGGAAGTGCCCTCATCAACCTTGTACAGCGAGGGAGGGATAGCTGCACTTGCAAACGCGAGGAAGGTGTCTCGTGAACATTTACCTCACAAGTAAGCGCGGCTCACAAGTAAGCGTAGCTCACAAGTAAGCGTGGCTCACAAGTAAACGTAGCTCACAAGTAAGCGTGGCTCACAAGGAAGGCCTTTGGCTCAATTACATACCTCCGTGAGACGATGTTAAGGTGTCTGACTGCTGATGGGTGTATTGAACTTTACGGGGGTGATTAACCACTCAGAAAGTAGCTATCTTGTCATTGCCTATGCATTCGGTACATGTGTTAGCTGTATAGAGCAAGTTTGCATGGCAGTCTCTGTGTAGTCATGCCGGGTGTTCTTCAAAGCTTCTGTTATTGTCAGCATGTAGACACAGGCACACAGCCCAAACGTATTCTGCTGTAGTAGTGTTGCAAATTAAGTGGTGTGGCGTAGAATGTGCCCTAGTCAATGCATATCAACTTCCCAGCTCTTAAGTAGAACGTATTAAGAAAGCCGAGGCCATGTGATACGTCTACTAATATGTCCTCCTAACAGCCAGTCCTGCAGACTACCCCCTTGCTAGCTACTCCCAAACATCCCTATCCAATTGAATCAGCCCTCATTTTCACCACACCTCTACCATCACCGTGACCCGGCCTTGACTTTGCTCAGCTCCTCCAGCTGCTCTATCAGCCTCCTCTCCTCGCCCGAAAGCGCCTTGGGAATCTCCACCTGAACCTTCACCAGATGGTCCCCGCGGAGATTCGGTTTCCCAAGCACCGGCACGCCGCGCTTCGCCATCACCAGCGTACTCCCCGGCTGCGTCCCTGCAGGGATTTTCAGATCCACCGGCCCGTCAACTGTCCGGACCTGTTTGGTGGTGCCGAGAATGGCTTCGAGGTACGAGACTTTGAGCGTTTGAAGAATGTCGGCTCCCTTGCGCTCGAGCTCGCGGTCGGGGCGGACAGAGAGGAACACGTAGAGGTCACCGGGAGGCCCGCCTCTTAGGCCCGCGTCGCCCTCCCCTCGCACTCTCAGCCTGCTGCCGTTGTCCACCCCTGCTGGCACCTGGAAGAGGGGGAGGGGGAGGGAGGAGAGAGCAAAGAGGGGGAGTGAATGAGAGAGAAAGAGAGGTGAGGAATAGAGGAGAGGAGAGGAGGAGAAGAGAGGAGAGGGGAGGAGACTTGGGAGGAGCAGGTGGTGGGCGTGGTGTCGGGCTTGGCGCCCAAGTGCAGTGACCAGCCGGAACGGCAGTGCATCTGGAATAGCGTACCTTAAGGGTGACTTGCCTGGCCTTGTGCACGCGGGCGCTGCTAGTTTTGCACGCGCTGCTAGTTTTGCGCGCGCTCCTAGTTTTGAGGCGCCTCAAAACTAGACTTGTGCACGCGCGCGCTGCCGTTGCATGTGCCACAGGGGGTTGAAATCTCGCCACTGCCGCCGCACCGCGGGCACGTGGTCACCTGCTGGAACATGCCCAGCGGCGTGTTGGCCACAGATACCACCTGCCCCTGGCCCCACCTGCCCCTTTCCCCACCTTCCACTGGCCCTACCTGCCCCTGTTCTGCTCTAGAGTGTGTGGAAGCATCATACCTTTAGTGTGACCTGCTTGGACTTGCGCACGCGCCCGCCGCCGCTGCACGTGCTGCAGGGGGTGGAGATCTCCCCACTCCCCCCGCACCGCGGGCACGTGGTGACCTGCTGGAACATGCCGAGCGGGGTGTTGGCCACAGATACCACCTGCCCCTGGCCGTTGCATTGGGAGCAGGTGGTGGGCGTGGTGCCTGGCTTGGCCCCCGTGCCTTTGCACGTGCCGCAGGCTTCCATGCGCGACACATCTATCTGCTTCTCTGATCCGAAGACAGCCTCCAGGAAGTCGATTGTCAGGTCGTACCTGGTTGGCGGGGAAACGGGGAGGGGGGAAGGGGGAGAGGGGCAGAGCGAGGGAGAGCAGCGGAGAGGGGGCAGAGGGAGGGGGGGGGGGTGGTACGGAGAAGGGGGAGAGATGAGTGAGTGGCATGTCTCCTCGGCACCCGTGCCCTTGGGGAGAAAGCACGTGCCACATGCTTTCTCCGTGCCACATGCTTTCTCCGTGCCACATGCTTCTCCGTGCCACATGCTTCTCCGCGCCACATGCTTCTCTGTGCCACATGCTTCTCTGCGCCACATGCTTCTCTGCGCCACATGCTTCTCTGCGCCACATGCTTCTCTGCGCCACATGCTTCTCCGCGCCACATGCTTTCTCCGCGCCGAAGATGGCTTCCAGGAAATCGATTGTCAGATCGTACCTGGTTGGAGGGAGGAGGGAGGAGGGAGGAGGGAGGAGGGAGGAGGGAGGAGGGAGGAGGGAGGAGGGAGGAGGGAGGAGGGAGGAGGGAGGAGGGAGGAGGGAGGAGGGAGGAGGGAGGAGGGAGGAGGGAGGAGGGAGGGGCCCATGCTGCCCATGCGCCCCACTCGCCCCTTTCGCCCCACTCGCCCCTTTCGCCCCACTCGCCCCTTTCGCCCCACTCGCCCCTTTCTCCCGTCTCACCTCTCATCGTCCCCTTGAACAGGGGCTGTGCGCCGAGCTCCCATTCCCCCCAGCCCTCCATTTCCCCCATGCGCCCCATTTCCCCCATGCCCATGCCGCCCATTCCCCCCATGCCTCCTGCTTCCACCCCCTCAGATACCTCTACTTCCCCCCGCATCTCACCTCTCGTCATCCCCTTGCACAGGGGCTGTGCGTCGAGATCCCATTCCCCTCATGCCTCCCATGCCGCCCATTTCCCCCATGCCCATGCTGCCCAAACCTCTACTTCCCCACATCTCACCTCTCATCGTCCCCTTGCACAGGGGCAGTGCGCCGAGCTCCCATACCCCCCATGCCTCCCATGCCGCCCATACCGCCCATCCGCCCCCCAAAGAACGTCTCAAAGAGGTCAAACGGATTGTTGAACTCCTGAAAGACAATACAAGGGGTTGGAAAAGTGGAGGGCGGGGTGGTGGTGGTTTGTGAGGCGTTTCAAAGAGGTCGAACGGATTGTTGAACTCCTGAAAGATAATAGGAGGGGTTGGAAAAGTGAGGGGTGGGGTGGGGGGGGGGGGGGGGGTCAATTTTTGAGTCAACAAAAAAATCGACTTATCACACAGGGTGGGGTGGGAGGTGGGGGGAGGGTGGTTCATGGGGTTGGGGTTGGGGTCCGGGTGAGGGGGAGGAGGCGGGTGAAAAGAGAGGTTGGGTGAGAGGTACGGGGGAGCGGGGGAAGCAGGTGGGCAGGAAAACGAACAGTGGAAATCGGAAACGAGCAAACGAAGGCGGCATTACTGGGGGCGAAACGGTGGGAGCGACTTTGGATTGGGTTATATGAGGGGGAGGGCAAAGTTTTTTTTTTGGAGGGGGGGGGGGGAGAGGGGGTGGAAGTGCGGAGAGGGGAATGTGGGGAGAGGTAGAGGTGGGGAGGAGAATACGGGGGACGGAAGGAATGTGGGGGGGTTGGGGATGTGGGGAAGGGAGGGGGCGATGAGGGGGAAGGGCGATCTGGGGCAGGGAAATTGCAGAGAAGTGGTAGGTGGGGCGATGGGAGGGGAGGGAGGAGAGCAAGGGAGGAAGGAGAGCAACATACCGAGCCAGCACCGCCCTTGACACCCGCCTCCCCAAATCTGTCATAAAGGGAGCGCTTCTCATCGTCTGATAGAACCTGTTGGCATGGGAGAGAAGGAGAGGAGAAGGGGAAGTTGGAGAGAGGAAGGGGCATTGCAACGTTACACCCTTTACCGAGATTGAAATAAAGGGAGAGTGTACTAAAGGCAGAGAAATTTACCTCGTACGCGTTACTGATTTCCTTGAACTTGGTCTCAGCCTCTGGTGCCCTGTTCAGTGTAGCAACACAATGGAGCAATGGATAAAAGGATTTATATTGGATCAAAATCTGGATAACTGATAGTTAAACATAAAGCGTCACACAAGCACATCAAACAACACCCAAATGTTGTTCAATATGCCTGATTTCGCAATGCACCTGGGCACACAAGAATGAACCTGAACACGCCCTAATACTCACTTGTTCACGTCCGGATGATACTTGCGCGCCAAGCGCCGATAAGCTGGAAAGACAAGGCACATGAGAGAGAGAGAATGGTTGGACCGAAGGGCGAGAGAAGGGGTGAGGGGACGAGAAGAGGGGCGGGTGGGAGAGGGGGGCGGGGGGGGGTGGAGGGGGAGGAGGGAGCAAGGATGGAGGTCAAGTCAACGTGAGAGGGCAGGAAGGCGAGTTGGTGGTGCCGAGGGGAGGTGATTTGGCACGTGAATGTTGGCACGCACAAGGAGCCTCCGGAGTCGCTTGAGTCGACTGACAAGTCACCAAGAGTGCAGTGCGATGCAGTTCGGTGCAGTGCAAAGCAGCGCAGTGCAGTGCAATGAAGCGCAGTGCAGCGCTTTGCTGTTCATACGTACCGCTCCTTATCTGTGACTTCACCAGGTTCTTCTCCACTCCTGGTGACTTTTGAGGTGACTGAGAAGTCATCAGGAGTGCACTGCAGTGCAGTGCGGTGCAGTGCGATGCAATGCAGTGCAGTGCTGAGCTGTTCATACGTACCGCTCTTTATTTGTGATTTGTCCGCGTTCTTCTCCACTCCCAGCACCGAATAGTAGTCCTGCATTGCAGAGAAACGATCATAAAACACACATACATACACACACACCCCCAAAAGACACATATGCAATGAGACGTTGCCGTTCGCTAACCCCAGCACCGAAGTACAACGCGCATGACGCTCGCGCATTTCATTCGCGTTTGGATCTCTAATACGGCCTGCTATAATGAATATCTTATTACGCAGAGCACCATTCCTGCATCTTTGTTCCCTGACACGTTCGTTTTGAATGTTTTTTTTTTGCTACTTTCCGTTACTGACGAGCTATTGAATCCTTAGTCCAACTTGCGCAAGCTCGCGCAGTGGTTCTCATCGATATCGAAGACTTCACACAACGGTGCTCTGATAAGGGAAGTGGTCTGACTCGGTTGATAGTGGTCGGCACCGGTAGTCTGTCTCACTTTTTCACACCACCTAATCCCATCGCATTGAATCGCATTTAACCTCTGCCGAGCCGCTTACGACTATCTAGATTTCACTCATCACATTCACAGACGCACATCGCCACATCGCACCGCACTCAATCTCCGACTCACCGCGTCTGCGCGGACCACGAGCGCATTCCCCCTCCGCCTCTCCGCCCCGCGACCGGAGGCGGAAAGAAAGGCGCTTCTCGTCCCGCCGCTTCCGCTGAAGAACGACGCCTGAGACGACGAGCAGGAGACAGATGACAAGCTGTTTTGGGAGGTGAAGAGGGGGGGAGGGGAAAACGAGAAGGGGAACGGGAAGGGAAGGGGGGTTGGGTTGGGGGCGAAATAAGGGAAATCGACGCCTGAGACGACGAACAGGCGACGGATGACAAGCTGTTTCGGAAGGGATGAGGGAGAAGGGAAGGAGGAGGTTGACGGGGACGGGGGGACAAGGGAAACAAGTGCCGCTGAAGAACGACGCCAGAGATGATGAGCAAGAGACGGGTGACAGACTGGCGTGGGGGGAAAGGGGCGCGGGGGACGAAGGGGAAAGGAGGGAGCTTGGGGGAAGAAAGATGGCGGGAGGGCAGGTAGAGGAGGTGGGGGAGAGGGTGGGTGTTGGGGGTTGTAAGGGGGAAGGATAAGGAAACAGCAGCAGCTGAAGAGCGTAAATGAAAAAAGACATATCGAAGCGGGGCTGTAAAATTTGTTATGGTGTGATATTTCGGTGTTAACACGTTTCAAAAGCATAAAAACATAGTTTTGTCGCTCTGTTCAACACCCGCGCTTTTGTTTCTCGAAACTAAACGGCAACTATCTCTTCAAACGCCTCCAGAATCAGAAAGCACATTGTGTTCATATTGATACGTTTCTCGCAACCGGGACGTTCTACTGGTACGTTTTTCAAACCCGCAACGTTCTGTAGCAAAATGCTTGATCGTTCGTCCCACATAACCGGACGTTCTTGGGTAAAATACCTGAGCGTTCGCCTCTCGAACCGGACGACAGAACCACGATAGTGTGGATCCGAGGAAGCGAGGTGACATTTGAGTTGACTTAAAAGACATTACCTTATCGTTCGTCTCTCGGAGCCGGACGACAGAGCCACGGTAGAGTGGAGCCGCGCAAGCGGCGAAGCCAGCGTTGCGGTCCCCATATTTGGCTGACGCTAGGAGAAATTGAACTCTTTTAAAAGATGTCTGGCAGGAGATGCTGAGACGACGAGAGAATAAGCGGAGCTCACAAAACGTGTCCTGAGGGAGAGATCAAGCCGTGCTTAGGGTAAACCGGGGATTGGCGCTTGGCTCATGAAGCAACGCGCTACCAGATCTCGTATCGGATTTCGAAACGCTGAAGCGAGATTCGTCGACGGAATAAACCGAGGGAAAGACGAGTGACTAGGATCAAGCGACAGATACAGCTACCATCAGCCGCGTAAGCTCGTCACTTATCAAGCAAATAGCCTTGGTGGGGATCGTCCTTGAGAATTTTGGTGCCTGTGGGTGTCAGAAGGGGAGAGACACGGTCACACGGCAACAGAAATCTCGAAATGTGGGAATCCGTTATGAGAGCCTCGAGAACTCCAAACATAACTTATAGCGAAGCATCTTTCCAGTCCCTTCTCTACGGCGACTGCTCGAGATCAGGGCTAAAGTTAGGCTTTTCGCCAACTCGGACGTTTTGGCTCCCTTCCAAAAAGGCCCTGAATACGCAGGGTCGGCCTAAAAACCGCTCGTAAAAATCAGGGCTGGCCTAAAAAATCCTCGATTACGTAATTCGAATGGAAAATCTCAGCCGAAAGGGGTCGTCAAGCCTGACGACCCTCAGACGACTTGACGACATGCTGCCCCGGGCAGAAAAAAACTAAACCCCCATCGGATGGCATGCCATCCGAGGGAGCCTCAACCCTAAAATCCATGCCTCCCCGTGTTTAGGGTTGAGGCTCCCTGACCGGATGCATGCCCGAATGGGGTTTAGTTTTTTTTGCCCGCGGGCAGCCAGCTCCCCCGGGCGGACTCGCTTGTCCGCTGAGATATATCGATAGTTCCGCGTCAATAAGGACTTCTTTCTGACAAAAGCTGATGCTGAAACACTCTGTTGGTGCACTTATCCTCCTTTTGTGTGGAACTCTGCTCGCAGAGAGCGATAGAGTATAGGTGCCTTTGACTAAGGAACAGAGGGGCGGGAGGGAACATTCACAAGTCCAGGAAGCGCGGGGAGAAGTCTACCTGTGTTGGGGAGGGGACGAGGTTGGGGGTGGTTAGAACCTTAGAAAAAGGTTCCGAGTCCTTCGAGGGATGACTCGTATTCACCAGAGTCAGTCCTGGAAGTGCTCGGATTCAGTCAGGGCTGGCCGAAAAATTCCCCTGTAAAAATCCGAGTTCGGCTGAAAATACCTAGGATTTTCAGTCAAGAACGAGCATTTACCCTGATAGCCTGAGCCCTGCTCGACATACAAATGATGAGCTGGAACCAGTACGGTGCGTGGTTGATGTTCGAGCAGATTTGGATAAAATTTGGCCCGCGACGGTTCTGCTTGCGTTGCTCCTCCCATCTTCCGAAAAAACGAGCTTTTGACGTGGCAAATGTTTAAGGGAATGACGTGGCTAGCCGCTCTGGCGACTTCAGGAAACTACCATACATCCACATCGACATTTGTCAGTCCACAGCATTTGCCAGCGTGGAAACTCGATTATCATGGCATAGCCCTTCTGTTCAACAAAAATGGTTGAGTACGATGCTGTGACTGTGATACGTTTTGTTTTCTACACCGTTTTCAGCACTGTATCACCAACCTTACCAGTACAATGGTGTAGTAATGTCCTTGTCCTAACGAACATCCGTTATGAAAGCCCGTGCATCCAGGTGTTAATTTAGGCTGTGTACGATGAGCATTTCAAATTAACCATTTTACACATAAAAGCCATGCAAGCATGCAAAACATAGCTGCAGAATGGAACACGGCTAATAAGCCTCCTTGAAACAAAAGCTAGTCATATTAGCTGCAGCTAACAGCATAACAGAATGAAGGACGCAGAAGCACCTAAAAACACCATGAATTGCCATGTCACCTACAACAAAAAAATTACACGCCACCTATATAAGAAGCCCCAAATAACGACTCTGAATTTGACGCACTTCGTAGCGCACCCAGCAGTGATGTCGACTGATTTTCTTCGAACCATTATGCCGTGATGATCAGTAAGGAGACGAGACGGAGTGCTGGTTCTGCTGCTTCCGCGACTCTATGCGACTGATCCTCCGCTAGCAAACCCTACATCCTGTACCAAAGGCGTGCGAAAGGCGATTCACGGCAGGCGATCTACGCCAGTTGACCTCTGATGGTAAAATACCAGTCCGACATTTTCTTAGGCGGCCACGTGATCTGCACGTAGTAGTCCGCAGGGGCCTTCGCTATAGCGGAAGCATTCGCTTTACTCAACTTCAGCTTCCCGGTGAAAAGCTTAATCCGCCCGCGGAACCCGACCGACGACCATTCTCCCGTAATGTTCCGGCTGATAATCTGCCCGTACAGTCCCTTCTTGCCCTTATACAGCCCCACTCGCGTCCACGGATCCCACGGATTAAACAGCGCCGAGTGCTTCCCCTTCACTTTGCCCGTGACGTTGATTTTGCAGGAGAAGACTGGCGGCTCGGCGGATGCCGTGTCCACTTTCCCCGCTGCACCCGCTTTGGTGGACTTGACCGTCGCGTTTGGTTTGCCCGTTTCAATAGGTTTCCCGCCCTGCTTGAGGTCCCAGTCGAGAGACGCGTTCATCCCGAGGGCCTTGACGAGGAGCGGGCCGTACCCGCCTTGCACCACGTTTTCTGGGAGAAGCTTCGCTGCGGTTGCGCCTGATTGGGGAAAGAAGGGAAGGTAAGGAAGAAGAGGGGGGGGGGGGAGAGAGAAAGAAAGGGGGAAAATGTTTAGGAAACGGAAAGGAAACAGGGAATTTGATGAGTGGAGAAACGGGGAAAGGAGGAGGGAGGCGAAAGATACGTGCAGTAGGAGAGAAGACGGGCCTGGCTGAAGGAGGGGGCGGCGGGCGGAGAGGACAGGTCTCGGGAGGGGAGGTGGAGAGGGAGAGAGTCTGGCAGGTGCAGAGCCCCTTTCCCTCGCCGGGTGTTCTAAAAAGTGAGGGAAAGAGGTGAGGTAGGGCGGTCGTGACAACTGAGGTCCAACATGCTGATGGAGAAATTACGCATGCGCTTCGAATGGGCGAAGAGTGGAGAGTGACTGACGGAAGTAGTATCAATAGATAAAAAGGAGATTAGATCGAGCTACGAGGGGTAGGTTTTTTTTCTTTCATCACGCCCAATATGGTCCTGCACGCAGTGACACTGAGGGGCGGGAGAGAAGAAGTTTGACCACCAGGAGCATGGCAGCTTCGATGGCTCCCATGAGGACGATTTGCAGCGATCAGCAGCAGTCAAGGAGCAAGACAGATAGATTATAATCACCATGGAAACACGATGCAGCGAGGCAGAACAATAACACTGCGAGTCCCACGGAAACTGCTGCATCCCTGGAAAGCGACATGTCTATCGTGAAGCTACCAGCCTGCTGGGTGAAGTTTCCCGCTCAAGCGGGTCTACGATGCGTTGGGAAAACCAGGGTTGCGAGTCTAAGTTTTCCAGTGTGCAACAGAGTCGGAAGTTGGGGGCCGCTGTTCTATTGACGAAATGGCGCTGAGGCTGAAAGTACGTGAACGAATGTGGGAAGGGCAATCACAAATGAGTGAAGTGATTGGGTTTGGGAAGGGTGGGCAATGCAGATCGTTGGAAGGGATGATGAGTTGGGTGGAAACGATGGCGAGCTTGACAAGGGGTTGTGTGCGGGTGAGCCTGACGAGAAGCACACGAATATTCACGAAGAGGTTACGGGGTAGATTTATAGCCACAACTTGCCAACTTAGCTGTTCGCGAATGGGTGTCACTGGTGCAGAAAAAATGTCGCCCACAAGAACTCGACGGAGAAACGACACCGAGGCGCGATCACCACATATGCAGCACCGTGCGCGGTCCAGCGGATTCCCCGTTGATGTTCCTGACATGGGCGAACCGCAAAGTCGGCTAGGCGAAGTGGGCTTTCAGCTGGGTGCGAATTTTGGTGATGGCGACTCGAACATGATAATGCCGCCAAAGGCATTTCGCAAAAAGTTGGCAAGAACGGGATAGATTATATCGAAAGACTATGAGCACATATTCATGAAGCTCTCATCCTTGAGAGTATATGTCTGGTAACAGAAAATATATGGATTTAAAAGAGTCAGCTAAGAAGAAGTATATTTTGTCGGTTGTTGACCCTTTCCTGGCAACCACAACTTTCTGCTGCTTCATCGCAGAGGTCGGTTGGTGGGGCAGGCGGTTGCCTGGCTTGGGCAAGGTGAACGTGGAGATCACCCCGCCCCTGGAGATGAATGCCAGAGAGGCTCCAGTGTCCATCAGGGCTAAAGTTAGGCTTTTCGCCAACTCGGACGTTTTGGCTCCCTTCCAAAAAGGCCCTGAAAACGCAGGGTCGGCCTAAAAACCGCTCGTAAAAATCAGGGCTGGCCTAAAAAATCCTCGTTTGCGTAATTCGATAGTTCCGCGTCAATAAGGACTTCTTTCTGACAAAAGCTGATGCTGAAACACTCTGTTGGTGCACTTATCCTCCTTTTGTGTGGAACTCTGCTCACAGAGAGCGATAGAGTATAGGTGCCTCCGATTTGACTAACAGAGGGGCGGGAGGGAACATTCACAAGTCCAGGAAGCGCGGGGAGAAGTCTACCTGTGTTGGGGAGGGGACGAGGTTGGGGGTGGTTAGAACCTTAGAAAAAGGTTCCGAGTCCTTCGAGGGATGACTCGTATTCACCAGAGTCAGTCCTGGAAGTGCTCGGATTCAGTCAGGGCTGGCCGAAAATTTCCCCTGTAAAAATCCGAGTTCGGCTGAAAAATACCTAGGATTTTCAGTCAAGAACGAGCATTTACCCTGATAGCCTGAGCCCTGGTGTCCATTAGTGATTTGCGAAGCCCAAACCGTACACTGAAACGGGGCAGGACTTGTCCAGTTTCCAAGATTCCACACCACCCAGTTTCGTGAGACCCTCGGGTCGAGTGGAGCAATGTGAACACCACCTGGACATCAGTCTCTCTGCTCTGAAAAACCGTACCGCTTTGGAACGCAACGAAACAGACGATACCGTGGTGCGTGAATCGAAAAACGAGGCGCGGGAAAACCAGAGGAAACGAAAGGGGGAGGCTTGACCTCTCCCTTCCAGCTCGCTCGTTACCCCACCCAACCGTCTTCAAGTAAATCGGAACTCTGTACAGCGTAGGAAACCTCATTCAACCGTGTTTTACCAGCTATCTCCAGTTGCCCTTGCAACAGACATCAGTCGGATTCCTGAACCACCACAGTTTGTCATGCTGGTTCCCCAAAGTCTTGAGCCGAGCATTCTTGGTAGGTACCTTGCAGTGAATTCCGGGTATCTTAGCTGTGAATCGCCGTCTCGTGGACTTTAATCCCGCCGTCTCTTCGCGACTTATTTACCACCATGGCCACGTGGTTGCTAATATTTACGCTTGGTCTTCTCAGCTCCAGCATTCCACGAGCAAAATGCAATTTCAATGTGGAAATGCAGAGCCTGGTCATTTCGTCTCCGGAAAATATCAAGGGGGAGTACCAAAGCGCTATAGCTAATTTCGGGACACCTCAATACGGAGCATCCCTTCAGGGAGTGATAATCTACCCCGATAAGGACCCGCAGATGTGCAAATCGTCGCGAAGTAACTACGGCAGGAAATCGTCCGCCGAGCTTCCTCACATTCTCCTTGTCGACAGAGGAGGTAATGTGTACACTCTTGCGAATAATGAGCTGTACTTTATCAATAATATCCATGACTCTTCCTCAAGTCGTCGCATTGACTGATACTTGCCGGTCATCGGCTATGTTCCCGCACCTTCTGAAGTAAAAAAGGGGAGATAGGTCTGACATAACTGTTCTTAGGCTTCGTAGTTTCCTGGTCCTTTTACCCCTCTTCCCCTTCTGTTCCATCAGGGTGCTACTTCACGGAGAAGGTCTGGAATGCTGAGCTGGCAGGAGCATCGGCGGTTCTGATCGCGGACGACCAGAACGAGAATCTGATCACCATGGATTCCCCCGACGACGATCCCGAGGCGAAGCAGGCGGGCGATCTCATCAGCAACATCACCATCCCCTCCGCTCTCATCCAAAAGTCCACCGCTACCGCAATCAAATCCGCGCTGAAGAAGAAAGAGATGGTCGTGGCGGCTCTTGATTGGCAGGAGTCGCTGCCGCACCCTGACGCGCGGGTCGAGTATGAGTTCTGGACCAATAGCAACGACGAGTGCGGGACGAAATGCGACATGCAGGCGAAATTCCTGGAGGAATTCCGGGGATACGCGATTATTCTAGAGCAGCAGGGGTTCACGCTCTTTACCCCGCATTATATGACCTGGTTCTGCCCGGAAGCCCTAAAAGAAACCCGGCAGTGCAAGTTCCAGTGTGTGAACAACGGCCGGTACTGCTCCCCGGATCCCGAGGGGGATTTTGACAAGGGGTATGACGGGCGGCAGGTGGTGATTGAGAATCTGCGGCAGCTGTGTGTGTGGCGCGTGGCGAAGGAGACGGGCGCGCCGTGGGTGTGGTGGGAGTATGCTGCGGATTTCAAGAAGCGGTGCCGCATGGAAGACAAGCAGTACAACCAGGAGTGCGGCGAGAAGCTCATGAACGGGCTGGGTGAGTGCGTGTGATGCTGCTGCTCCTAGCATGTGTAGCATGGGGTCTAAAGGCGGTGCCGCATGGACGACAAGCAGAACAACCAGGAATGCGGCGAGAAGCTTATGAGCGGGCTGGGTGAATGCGTGTGTGCTGTGCTGTGCTGTGCTGTGCTGTGCTGGAATGGAATTGGGGTGTGACACTGCTATTTGTGGCGAGTGTGACATGGGGTCTATAAGAGGTGCTGCATAGAAGACTACCAGCAGGAGTGTGCTGAGCAGCTCATGAACGGACTGGGTACGTGTGTCAAAGGAAAGGATTGTTTCTGGCGGGGGTGTGAAATTGCTGCTCCTGGCGTGTGTAGCATGAGGTTTAAAGGCGGTGCTGTTTGGCCTAGAAGCAGTACGACCAGGAGTACGCCGAGAAGCTCATGAATGGACTGGGTGAGTGCGTGTGAGTGATACTGCCAGGAGAGTGCTGCTGCTGCTGCTGCTGCTGCTGCTGCTGCTGCTGCTGCTGCTGCTGCTGCTGCTGTTGCTGCTGCAGCAGCAGCAGCAGCATCCACACTGCCTTTGACTTGCCACACAAGTGCTGAATTAACAGGAAAGTGCAGGCAGACAGGCAGGCAGGGATGCTTGTGTGTGAGGCAAACAGTCTGGACTCCCTCAAGGTGTGAGTGCGCATGGGCGAGCCCAACAGGAAGGCAGGGTGCGTGCACACACGAAATCCCCTTTATATCCCCTTCACATCCCCTTCACATCCCACCCCCCCACTCTCACACAGGTGTGGACCCGCAGAAGGTGCGGGCATGCATGGGCGAGCCCAACAGGAATGCAGCCAACCCCGTTATGGAAGAAGAGCAGGACGCGCAGGTGGGTGTTTCGCTTGATATACAAAGGATCTGCCTGCGCGTGAGAGGGAGTCTATGTTCAAGTCTTCTCGAGGGTAGAACCCATGCTTGCAGCAGAGCAGGGTGCTCATGTAGGCATTGCCCCCTCGATGCATGAGCAAAAGGTCCAGCCCAGCCCAGTTGAATGTATCTCTGCTCGTTTGGCCCTCCTCTCCTCTCCTCCTCCTCCTTTTCCCCGCATCACCCCCTACCCTGCCCTCCATCTTCGCTCCCTCTAACCAACATTCTGCAACTCCCCGTTCAGGTGGGCAAGCGCGGGAGAAGTGACGTTACCATGTTACCAACCATCGTGATCAACAACGTGCAGTACAGAGGTAGGTAGCTTGAGTGACCGGTGACCACTGTGCAGTACTGCTTCGCCTTCAGTAATCAACAATGCTGCTGACCACTGTTCAGCACTTGGAATTCGAGTCATGCACACATGCTGCCACACACACATTGCCTTGTTTTTGCACGTGATTTCATGTCGTGCGAATGGCATGGGGTGCTGAAGACTCGCATGTGTGCATGGTGATGGCATGCCATGCATGAATGGTGATGGCATGTCATGCATGGTGATGGCTTGAGATGCATGGTGATGGCTTGAGATGCATGGTGATGGCTTGAGATGCATGGTGATGGCTTGACATGCATGGTGATGGCTTGAGATGCATGGTGATGGCTTGACATGCATGGTGTTGGCATTGCATGGCATGGCATGGTGATTACAGGCAAGCTGGAGGCCAAAGCAGTGCTCAAGGCGATCTGTGCAGGCTTTGAAGAGTCTACTGAGCCTCCCATCTGCCTCGGAGCCGGTACGAGCACTTACAGCTGCTTTGTTTGTTCCTTGCCAAGCTGCTTTTGAAGCTCCAGGGTAACTCCGAAATCAGTACTGCATTGAATTCTCAAGTGCACAGTCTGTAGTGTATCAGTCTGTAGCGTATCAGTCTGTAGCGTATCAGTCTGTAGTGTATCAGTCTGTGGCAGTTTCCAAAACAGAGACTCTGCAACAAGTCCCAAACACAGGTGTCCAAACACGGGCTCTTAATTGCGGTAGCTATCGGGAACCAATCGATGCGTTCTCTCTTCTCTTGGCTATTTTTCAACCTTCCCTGCTCCCCTCCCACCTCCTATCCCGTCACGCCACCAGAGGTGCAATCAAACGAGTGCCTGACCAACAAAAGCAGCGTGTGAGATGTCTCATATCCCCCCCCCCCCCCCCCCCCCCCCGGCCCCTCCCCCCCAAATTCCCCGTTTTCCCCCTATTCCTTCACCTCACGCCATCAGAGGTGCAAACAAACGAGTGCCTGACCAACAACGGGGGCTGCTGGCAGGGACACAACCTCACAGCTTGCAAGGTGCGATTTGTTCTGAGCCACAACAATTTGTTACAACGTATGGTGTGTGGGCAATATTGGGATCACTTTTAAAGAATGCTCGTTCCCACTTTCTCCTCCCTTGCAGGACAAGTTTAGAGGCAGGGTGCGCGATTTCCCCCAGGCACCCTGTGTGCCTCATTTTGGACACGCTTCCCTTTGCACTCTCGCAAACGATCCCTCTCTTCCTCTCTCTCTCTCTCTCTCTCTCTCCCTCTTGCAGGACACGTTCAGAGGCAGGGTGTGCAAGTGCCCCGAGGACGTTTTGTGGAGATTCGGACGCGCTTCACCCTGACCCCTCTCAAACGGTCCCTCTCTCCTCCTTCTCTCCTTCGCCCTCTCCCCTTCTCCCTTCCCCCTCTCCCCTTCTCCCTTCCCCCTCTCCCCTTCTCCCTTCCCCACTGCAGGACACGTTCAGAGGCAGGGTGTGCGAGTGTCCTAAGGACCCTGCCACGGGCGTGTACCTCACAGGCGATGGCTACACTAAGTGCGAGGGTGAGTACTATGTTAGCTTTACTGAGTTTACTCTGTGCTTAGTGCGCTTCACTAAGTTTGTGAGTGCCCAAGGACCCTGCCACGGGGGTATACCTCACAGGCGATGGCTACACTAAGTGCGAGGGTGAGTACTATGTTAGCTTTACTGATTTTAGTCTGTACTCAGTGTACTTCACTAAGTGTGTGAGTGCCCAAGGACCCTGCCACGGGGGTATAACTCACAGGCGATGGCTACACCAAGTGCGAGGGTGAGTACCTCATCAGCTTTACTAGGTGTACTTCATTCAGTGTGCTGTTTTTATGCTTCACTAGGCTCATTTGTGTACTGCAATGGGTATGCTTACTCTACTTGTGAGCTTGAGTGCTTCACTGAGTCCTTCAGCCTAACAAAGCAAAATATGTTCCAATCATCACATTTGTGTATCAGCCCACTTATTTTCCGCTCATTTATTTACCCCGTGATTCATTCACGTGTTGTGTTTCCCTCCCCACATGACCTGCTCTGCTCTCCCCCACCTGCTCCCCTTCTCACTCGCACGTGCAGCGGCGGGAGTGGGTCGCTGCCTGGTGGGCAACGGGGGATGCTGGCAGTCCACCCATGAAGGCAAGACATTCACCGCCTGCCATGTGAGTTGCTGTTGTGCTGTTGCTGGTGTTGCTGCTGCTGGACTTGCTGATGTGCTTGCCATGCGAGTGGAGGATGCTGGCACGTGCTCTGGTGCTGGTGTTGGTGTTGGTTTTGGTGTTCGTGCTGATGCTGGTGCTGGTGTTGGTGTTGGTGTTGGTGCTGATGCTGGTGCTGGTGTTGGTGTTGGTGTTGGTGCTGATGCTGGTGTTGGTGTTGGTGTTGGTGTTGTTGTTCGTGCTGATGCTGGTGCTGGTGTTGGTGTTGGTGTTGGTGTTCATGCTGATGCTGGTGCTGGTGCTGGTGCTGGTGTTGGTGTTCGTGCTGGTGCTGGTGCTGGTGCTGGTGCTGGTGTTGGTGCTGGTGCTGGTGCTGGTGCTGGTGCTGGTGCTGGTGCTGGTGCTGGTGCTGGTGCTGGTGCTGGTGCTGGTGCTGGTGCTGGTGCTGGTGCTGGTGTTGGTGTTGTTGTTGGTGTTGGTGCTGGTGTTGGTGTCTCTCTTTTCAAGTATCGGAGTGCAAATGCTCCTTTTCCTCCTATTTCTCCCCCTTCCGGCGACTATTCCGGAGCAGGACAGCTCCACCTCCCCCACCACCACCTGTGTGTGTCCGCCGGGTTTCAAGGGCAACGGGCACCACTGCAAGGACATCAACGAGTGTGCGCCCTCGCACCCCGCCTGCAAGTGCCCCGAGTGCAAGTGCCGCAACACGTTCGGATCATACGAGTGCTCATGTGTGGGCGAGGGCATGGTGTATATTGACCAGCTTCAGGCGTGCATCAGTAAGTGGGGTTTGTGAGGGCTGCACAATATGGTCGCATCATGTTTGGTTCGGGTCGTACTAGTGCTCGTGTGTGGGCGAGGACATGGTTTATATTGGCCAGCTTCAGGCGTCCATCAGTAAGTGGCTAATGATTCGACTATATTATTTTTGCTCTATAATTTACGAGCTTGTCATTATGGTCGTATCAGTGCTCATGCGCCGTAATGGAGCATTGGCCCGAGTGCTGCCCTGTATCCTTGTTTTCGCGTCTCACCGCATCTCTCTCACATGTGCTTACCTTAGCAATCCCCATGTTATCTCTCTCACACACATCAGGCAGGGTATCTGAGGGCTCAGCCCCTACACGCACCATCTGGGGTGGAGTAGTGGCCATTGTGTTGGGCTTCATTGCCGTTTTTGCTGTCCTGGGATACTTAATGTACCAGTACCACCTTCGGGTAAGAATTTCCAATTTACTTATTTGCTTCTCTATTCATGCGTGAGCATGCTCCAGATCCTTCTATAGCTTCTCTCGCCTTTCACATCGTCCGGTTTTTTATACGCTTGGTGTGTTACGTGCAGACACATGTTGATTCTGAGATCCGGGCCATTATGGCACAGTACATGCCGCTGGATGAATCCGACGATCTTCCGACGGACGTCATCGGCGAGAGGCTTGTGCGGATGCAAGAGTCCAACAACTGAGCTGCAGTTTGTGAAGCCCTAGAATGTACATTCATGTTTTGAAAGCTGATGTTTTTATATGTTGTTAGTGACAGGCTGTAAGGTGTCAAGGTGTTTGTACATGTAACGTGATCATCATTGGCTGATTTTGTTCGTGACGAATCGCTGACCATCAGACTTCAGCAGCTGAGCCAGCGAGGAGCTGGATCTGCAGGCGAGAGTGCAAGTGAATGCTGGCTCGGGCTTGTTGTGACGCATCACCAACTTCAACTTCCAGTAATCCACGTCATACGCACACGAACGGTTCTGAGTTCTCGAGGGCCGAGACTCCTTGGGGGTGTCCCAAACCAAACCGCGACTGGTTTTTCAAATCACATCTTCGGTGTAGCTCAGTGCGCAGCGTTCCAGTGCGGTACGTAAACGAAAACTTCTTTTTAACCTGACGAATCGCACTGAACCGCACCAAAAGAATCGAAGACGTTTAGGAACCGCATTGCGAGATTGGCGATACACACTCACCGCCTCAGGTGTCGTGATGGAGCACGGAGGAGAGATTCGGGAAACCATGGATTTCATCTGAAGCAGCACGTCCGAATGACAGAAATTATAAAAACAGAAGCCTGAATATCCTGTTACAGCCGCTGTTTCGGCAGTAGGAGCAGCAGTCCCAGCAGCCGAGGCAGACGCTTCTGCTACAGACCGAAGCGTGGCCCTCTTTGCACCTTGTAAATATAAGATATTATCATCGTGTGCTGCTGCTCATTAGCGACACGCATTGCTAGTCCTTCCGAACTCTCGGATTGCTTGTTGTAATTCCGTTGACAAGTTACAATCCATTCCCCTTTCAAGAGTTCGAAGCGGAATCGCGCTTCTTCGTTTTGAGTAGTTTTCGCCACTCGCAACTTCTTTTGTAACGACTCCGTTTGAGACGTCTCTTTTCAATTCTCATCATGGCGGCCCGTGCGTTAGCTGCTGCTGTCGCACGCCGAAGCTTTCGCGAAAGCGAGCGACCGCTGCGACGATTATCGGGTTTCGTAGCTCCGTCCGTTGTAGCCTCAACTGCTCAAGACACTACTGGAACCGGACAGATGAGAAGCTTCGTGCTAGGATTCGCGGGTTCGCCACATCAGCGACAGGTGGTTGAATTGTTCTCCTTCTGCATTCTCGCACTATTTCCATATTCCGGGTCCTTTTCTCGACGTTATCTTGCTTTATCCCAGATATGCTATTCGAGAACTCTTGTGCTGTTGGGTCGTTTGGAACTTATTGGTCATATGACGCCTTGCTAACCGCTGGTTTCCCGCTATTCCATAGGAGCCCAGTCTGTCGTCAGCCTCCACGTCAGCCTCCACGTCAGCCGCCACGTCATCATCATCAGCAGCAGCAGCGGTGGCGGTATCTCACGAGTTTCCAGGCGCGCGCATGGCGTTTACTCCTGACCTTCATTTCGTGCCAGAGCAGCCGGAGTCGCCTGTGCCGTGCTTCCGTGTGCTGGACCACGAGGGGGGGGTCGTGGAAGGCGCAGAGGAGCCCGAGGTGAGTGAAGGAGGGAATTGAAATCAAGGGATGATGGGACAACATGTATAACACCTCGCTACCCACTGGGTCAAAACGAGGGTGTTATTTGGCGCAGCGGAATGCCCTTAACACTAGCCCACAGGCGTTACAACATGCATGGCGTTCACGGCTGATCTTCAGATTGTGCCAGAGCTCCCAGAGTCTCCTGTGCCGTGCTTCCGTGTGCTGGACCACGAGGGGGGGCTCGTGGAAGGCGCAGAGGAGCCCGAGGTGAGTGGGAGTGAGTGAAAGCGAGTCAGGGAGTGCCAATTTCTTCCAACCTCTCAATTTCTCCTTCACCGACACCACTTGCTTTCCCCACTTCTACTCTCCTCCCTTCCCATTCCCCCCCAAATCCGTCTCCCTTCTTCCCTTTCCCCAGCTTACCCAGTCTGAAGCCGGGCGCATGTATCAAGCAATGGTGGAGCTTCAGGCAATGGACTCGGTGTTCGATTCTCTCAGACTCTGACTTTTGATTTGTCCCAAAAGTCAACTCAATGGACTCGGTGTTCAATCCTCTCAGACCTCTGACTTTTGAGTTGTCCCAAAAGTCAACTCAATGGACTCGGTGTTCAATCCTCTCAGACCTCTGACTTTTGAGTTGTCCCAAAAGTCAACTCAATGGACTCGGTGTTCAATCCTCTCAGACCTCTGACTTTTGAGTTGTCCCAAAAGTCAACTCAATGGACTCGGTGTTCAATCCTCTCAGACCTCTGACTTTTGAGTTGTCCCAAAAGTCAACTCAATGGACTCGGTGTTCAATCCTCTCAGACCTCTGACTTTTGAGTTGTCCCAAAAGTCAACTCAATGGACTCGGTGTTCAATCCTCTCAGACCTCTGACTTTTGAGTTGTCCCAAAAGTCAACTCAATGGACTCGGTGTTCAATCCTCTCAGACCTCTGACTTTTGAGTTGTCCCAAAAGTCAACTCAATGGACTCGGTGTTCAATCCTCTCAGACCTCTGACTTTTGAGTTGTCCCAAAAGTCAACTCAATGGACTCGGTGTTCAATCCTCTCAGACCTCTGACTTTTGAGTTGTCCCAAAAGTCAACTCAATGGACTCGGTGTTCAATCCTCTCAGACCTCTGACTTTTGAGTTGTCCCAAAAGTCAACTCAATGGACTCGGTGTTCAATCCTCTCAGACCTCTGACTTTTGAGTTGTCCCAAAAGTCAACTCAATGGACTCGGTGTTCAATCCTCTCAGACCTCTGACTTTTGAGTTGTCCCAAAAGTCAACTCAATGGACTCGGTGTTCAATCCTCTCAGACCTCTGACTTTTGAGTTGTCCCAAAAGTCAACTCAATGGACTCGGTGTTCAATCCTCTCAGACCTCTGACTTTTGAGTTGTCCCAAAAGTCAACTCAATGGACTCGGTGTTCAATCCTCTCAGACCTCTGACTTTTGAGTCGTCCCAAAAGTCAACTCAATGGACTCGGTGTTCAATCCTCTCAGACCTCTGACTTTTGAGTTGTCCCAAAAGTCAACTCAATGGACTCGGTGTTCAATCCTCTCAGACCTCTGACTTTTGAGTTGTCCCAAAAGTCAACTCAATGGACTCGGTGTTCAATCCTCTCAGACCTCTGACTTTTGAGTTGTCCCAAAAGTCAACTCAATGGACTCGGTGTTCAATCCTCTCAGACCTCTGACTTTTGAGTTGTCCCAAAAGTCAACTCAATGGACTCGGTGTTCAATCCTCTCAGACCTCTGACTTTTGAGTTGTCCCAAAAGTCAACTCAATGGACTCGGTGTTCAATCCTCTCAGACCTCTGACTTTTGAGTTGTCCCAAAAGTCAACTCAATGGACTCGGTGTTCGATTCTCTCAGACCTCTGACTTTTGAGTCGTCCCAAAAGTCAACTCAATGGACTCGGTGTTCAATCCTCTCAGACCTCTGACCTTTGAGTCGTCCCAAAAGTCAACTCAATGGACTCGGTGTTCAATCCTCTCAGACCTCTGACTTTTGAGTTGTCCTAAAAATCAACTCAATGGACTCGGTGTTCAATCCTCTCAGACCTCTGACTTTTGAGTTGTCCCAAAAGTCAACTCAATGGACTCGGTGTTCAATTCTCTCAGACCTCTGACTTTTGAGTTGTCCCAAAAGTCAACTCAATGGACTCGGTGTTCAATTCTCTCAGACCTCTGACTTTTGAGTCGTCCCAAAAGTCAACTCAATGGACTCGGTGTTCAATTCTCTCAGACCTCCCATCCCACCCACAACCCTTGTCCATCTTATTACCCTCTCCATCTGCTTTCCCCCAGCTCTCCCAATCCGAAGCGGAGCGCATGTATCACGCAATGGTGGAGCTTCAGGCAATGGATTCTGTCTTTTATGAGGCGCAGAGGCAGGGGCGCTTCTCGTTCTACATGACAACTGCGGGGGAGGAGGCCGTTAACATCGCCTCCGCTGCTGCCATCCACCCCCACGACCACGTCTTTGCCCAGGTGTGTGCTTTCTAGTCTCCAGGTCAACGTGGGTGAACGTGGGTCAACAGGGATCAACATCGCCTCTGCTGCTGCCATCCACCCCCACGACCACGTCTTTGCCCAGGTGTGTGTGGTGTTCCTCTCTCTTCTCCCCACTCTCACTCCTGGCTGGTTCTGTAAGGGGTAGAGTTGAGAGGCAGGGGCGCTTCTTTTGAGAATTCTCAAAGGTAGAGCTGAGAGGCAGGGGCGCTTCTTTTGAGAATTCTCAAAGGTAGAGCTGAGAGGCAGGGGCGCTTCTTTTGAGAATTCTCAAAGGTAGAGCTGAGAGGCAGGGGCGCTTCTTTTGAGAATTCTCAAAGGTAGAGCTGAGAGGCAGGGGCGCTTCTTTTGAGAATTCTCAAAGGTAGAGTTGAGAGGCAGGGGCGCTTCTTTTGAGAATTCTCAAAGGTAGAGCTGAGAGGCAGGGGCGCTTCTTTTGAGAATTCTCAAAGGTAGAGCTGAGAGGCAGGGGCGCTTCTTTTGAGAATTCTCAAAGGTAGAGCTGAGAGGCAGGGGCGCTTCTTTTGAGAATTCTCAAAGGTAGAGCTGAGAGGCAGGGGCGCTTCTTTTGAGAATTCTCAAAGGTAGAGTTGAGAGGCAGGGGCGCTTCTCGTTCTACATGACCACAGCGGGGTAGGAGGCCGTCAACATTGCATCCACTGCTGCCATCCACGCGCATGATCATGTGTTCGCACAAGTGCGTATGGTTTCTGGTTTCCAGAGGCGTTATTTCTAGCCTTGTTCCCATCTCAAGGGGTGCAGAGGCAGAGGCAGGGGCGCTTCTCGTTCTACGTGACCACAACGGGGGAGGAGACCCCGTCAACATCATCTCTGCTGCTGCCATTCACCCCCACGACCACGTGTTCGCGCATGTGTGTGTGGGTTCTGGTTTCCAGAGGCAGTCTCTCAAGTCTCCCTCCCCCACAAGGGGCGCAGCGGCAGAGGCAGGGGCGCTTCTCGTTGAACATGACCACTGCTGCACATGCAGCAGGGAGGAGACCGTTCCTTCGCACATGCTGCTGCCATCCAACCCCTCTCTCCCTTTTTCAGTACCGCAGGCCAGGTAAGCCTGTGCAAACGAATACGAATACGAATACGAATATTTTTCCTGTATATTCTCCGAATACTGGGTGGTTTCTTATTTGATCGAATACTGGCCCAAAACCGAATACGAATACGATTCGAATACTGACTCAAAACCGAATACGAAAACGACTCGAATAGTGCCGGATCCGAGTCGAATACAAATAAGTTTCGAGCAATAATATATTTTGTATAGCCAGTGTCGAACGGCTAATGCATGTCCGACACAGGGTGGTACAATGCACCTTATAATAACAACACCACGACTCAATCCCTCACCAAGACCTTCCCTTATCCCGCTCCAGCAACTATCTTGCTAGGCTTTTGAGCATGGTTCTCATGAAGCCTCTTGTAGACAGATTGCAAAGATGATAGCCGCACGCGGGGAGGGGGGGAGAAGGGGGGGGGGGATAGTGTTGATGGCAGAATACCGAATAGCAACGAATACCCCGAATATCCGTTAGCCGAATATTCTACATTCACGAATACTCGTGAAGCGAATATTTCCGAATACACGGCCATTTCTTATTCTCTCGAATTCGGGCATTCGAACGAATATCGAATAATTCTCGAATACCGAATATTCTTGCACAGGCTTAAGGCCAGGGGTGCTGCTGTGGCGGGGCTTCTCTCTCTCTTGGACTTTGCCTATCAGTGCATGGGAAACCGGCAAGACAAGGGCGAGGGCCGCCAGATGCAGTAGAGTGTTTTTCACTTTCATTCTCTCTTCCCCCGCCCTTTCCTCTCCTCTTCCCCTTTGCCTGGCAGGCAGTACCGAGAGCCAGAGGTGCTGTTGTGGCGGGGCTTCCCTCTTTCCGACTCAACCGATCAGTGCATGGGCAACCACCTGGGTGTGGGCAAGGGTCCCACAGAGACCAATGATCGAACTCTCCTTCCTCTTCTCCCTACCTGTTCCGTGGCTGCCAGTACCGAGAGCCAGAGGTGCTGCTGTGACGGGGATTTACCCTCTCTGACTTCGCCAACCAGTGCATGGGCAACCGGCTGGATGCAGGCAAGGGGCGCACAGAGACCACAGCTCAAACAGACTCCCTACTCTCCTTCCTCTTCCCCCTTCCCGTCCCTCTCCCTTCCCCTTCAGTACCGAGAGCCAGGGGTGCTGCTATGGCGGGGATTTACCCTCTCTGACTTCGCCAACCAGTGCATGGGCAACCGGCTGGATGCAGGCAAGGGGCGGCAGATGCCTGTGCACTATGGGTCCGCAGAGCTGCGATTCCACACCATCTCCTCGCCGCTAGCGTGAGTAGGTTTGCTCGCACGCCTCCCGGAGTTGCTGCTGCGTTGCTGGGGTTGCATTTGGTTTTCAAGTTAGCGCCTCTCCTGTGGTTTCACCCCCACCAGCACGCAGGTCCCCCATGCAGTGGGGACGGCCTGTGGGCTCAAGATGGCGGGCGAGGGGTGCTCCATGGCTTGCTTACCTGCCTCCCCACCTCACACACCCCCCCCACTTCGGGTCCCCCTCCGCCCCTGTCGCCCCTGCTCCCTGTTCTCCCACCCCCATCAGCACGCAGATCCCCCATGCAGTGGGGGCGGCCTATGGGCTCAAGATGGCGGGCGAGGGGTGCTGCTCCGTGGCTTACTTTGGAGAGGGCGCTGCTAGTGAGGTGAGCAGCGAAGGAGTGACATAATGATACTGTGCGGTAGTGTGCGGTAGTGCGCGGTAGTGTGCGGTAGTGTGCGGTAGTGTGCGGTCTGGTGTAGTTTCGTGTGACAGTGAGGGGTGCTCCTCTGTGGCTTACATTGGAGAAGTGCTGCCAGTGAGGTGAGCTGTGAAGGATTGACAGGGTAAACATGTGCTCCGTGGCCTATTTTGGAGAAGGCGCTGCCAGTGAGGTGATAATTCTGAGGACGACCTGTGGAAGGTGGTTTTTGAGGCGCCTCAAAAACGACCTCAATCGGCGCTGCTAGTGAGGTGATAATTCTGAGGACGACCTGTGGAAGGTGCACTCTGCATGCATTCGCGCTTGTTTGCTCCTGATTGGACGATTGACAGCCACGTGTGCCCACATGCGCCCACATATGCCCACGTGTGCTGAGTGTGTTGACTCTCAGGGTGACTTTCACGCAGCTCTCAACTTTGCAGCGGTCTTGGAGGCGCCTGTACTCTTTATATGCCGCAACAACGGCTGGGCTATAAGCACTCCTGCTAAGGAACAGTACCGAGGTATGGCACATCCAGCCTCTTTTTTTATTTATTTATTTATTTTTTTGCTCTCTCTCTCTCTCGAACGGTCCGTCGTATTAATATCAGCAAGGTACACACAAGGTAAGGCAGCACCTACACACGGCAAAGCTTACGGTAGCAATCTAGTAGCCTAGCACAACTACAGCCGCCCCTTCTCCTTCCGGCCCTAGTGGCCGGAAGGGTCTTCTATCAGCTGGTACAGCTGCCCCTCGGTCAGTGGGGTGAACGGTCCCTTGCAGGCCCAGCACATCCGCGGTAAGGGCCTCATGGGTTTTATCCCTGAGGGCGTTGTCTTGTGCTCTCTGCAGGGTCACGCTTCACCGCTGCCGGTACTCGGTGAGGAGCTTGGCCGCCTCCCTCGACTTGGGAGGCGCGTTGAACCGCCTTTTGGCCGCTAGCTCTGCGCAGCTGCGGAGGAAGTCAAGGACACCGGGAGAGGGGTAGCCGTATGTCTCTACAGCCATGGGCGCCAGGCTGACGATGACGTCGCAAATCCAGGCCGCACCGGTGTCGGGATGGCATCGCTGGAAAAATTGTTGAAAAAAAAAAAAAAGAAAATGGCATCAATTTTTGTTCTTTAGGAGTAACATGTTGCATTACATCTGCATCGATTTTTTTTCTCATTTTTTTCTCTTCCACCCTTACTATTCTCGTCTCCCCCGCACCCTCCCCGTGTTCCTTCTCTCGTCGCCTCCCAAATTCCAGGTGACGGCATAGCAGGGAGAGGGGCGGCATACGGCGTCTCTAGTGTACGGGTGGACGGCAACGATGTGCTTGCAGTGCTGAGGGTGGTGAAGGAGGCTAGGGAGCGAGTGATGCAGACAGGGAAGCCCATCCTCGTAGAGGTGAGATGCATTTCGGTTAATTGAGGTGAAGTGTGGTGAAGGGTGGTGATGTGTGGTGGAGTGCGGTGCTTTGCGGTGAAGGTGCGGGTATTCACCGACAGTCGGAAATGATGTGCTTGCAGTGCTGAGAGTGGTGAAGGAGGCGAGGGCGAGAGTGATGGAGACAGGGAAACCAATTCTTGTGGAGGTGAGATGCAGTGTGGTGAAGTGCGGTGAGCTTTGGTCAAGTGTGATGAAGCGCGGTGGAGTGTGGTGGATATTCGTGAACAACTGGAAATGAGGTGCTGTCAGTGCTGAGGGTGGTGAGGGAGGCAAGGGAGGGAGTGGTGGAGTCCGAAAAAACTGTTTTGATACCTTCCCCTCAGGCCATGACATACCGCACAGGCCATCACAGCATGTCAGACGACTCTTCTCGCTACCGCGGGGCAGGGGAGATGGCGCACTGGCGCACCCAGAGAGGCTTTCTCTTCTCTCCTTTTCATCTACTTCTTCCCTCACCCCTCTATTACTAGGCCATGACATACCGCACGGGCCATCGCAGCACATCAGACGACTCCTCCCGTTACCGCGGTGCCGGGGAGATGGCGCACTGGCGCACCTAGAGAGAGGCCCCTAACCCGCTACCCCCTATCACTCCTCGCTTCCCTTTCCCAGGCCATGACATACCGCACGGGCCATCACAGCACATCAGACGATTCCTCTCGCTACAGGGGGGCAGGGGAGATGGCGCACTGGCGCACCCAGAGGGACCCGGTAGCGCGGTTCAGGAGGTGGCTGGAGAGGAAAGGGTGGTGGGATGAGGAACGGGAGAAGCAGGCGAGGGACACTGCCAGGGACGAGGTAAAGGCGTATGTGTGTTTGGTGGATGTATAGCGAGGTCTGGGGGGAGCGGGGGGGATGAGGTGGGGGAGGTAACGCACTGGCACACTCAGACAGACCCGGTAGCGCTTTAAACGGTGGCTGGAGAGGCGAGGGTGGTGTGATGAGGAACGGGAGAAGGCAGCAAGAGACACTGCCAGGGACGAGGTAAGGGCGCATGTGTGTTTGGTGCTTGTATAATCAGGTCTGGAGGGGGCGGGGGTGCATGTATGCATGGCTGGGTATGCATTTGGTAGGACCAATGGGTGATTCTTCGACTGGTTTCATGGGTAACTACTCATGCGTCTATGGCTCTCACTCATTCTCCTTCCTTTCTCGCCCTGCCCCATTTCTTTGGCTCGTTACAGGTGATTACCGCACTGGAAGCTGCTGAGAAGCTTCCGAAACCGCCTCTTTCGGATCTAGTGAGTGACGTGTACGACAGCATTCCGGTTCATCTGCAGGAGCAGGAGATGGAGGTGCGTGCAGCTGTTATGAGGAATCCCCAGGCGTATCCCAGTGACGTGCCACTGTAAATATACGCATGACATGTATGTTGATACCCCTCGAGTCCATCTGCAACAGAACCAGGAGAGGGAGGTGTGCACAGCTGGGTCTATCCTAGTGATGGGCCACCGTAGCTGTGACGGGGGTTTGTATTTTTGTACAGTTATCATGTCACCTACATTATTATTTATATGTGCTGTGTTTACCACACTCGAACTACCGTACATGAACAGGGAACAGAAGAGTGTACAGGCAGCTGTACATGGTTCTTACGAGTTATCTCTCGTGATTAGTCTGGTGTACATACGAAGTTTTCTGTTCTTTCTCCATGGACTTGTAGCGCATGATTCTTTCATTAGCAATGTAGAATTTGCCAACGATTATTAGCAGCAATCAAGATGTACAGTGCAGTCGATAAATCAATAACCAGGTTAGCCCAGCTTTCATAAACTAACCGTTCCCAGCGATCACATGTCTAAAATTCAGCAGTAGGGTTGAGTGAATGTCCGCGATCTTATTGCGGCTTGTAACGCGTCCACAAGGAAGCACAAACGGGTACGAGATCAAGATATTGCCGAGCCGACGATGGAAAAGACCTCAGATTTTGCACGCGAGGTCAATAGTCGCAGAGCCCCTGCATGGCAGCGCAGGAAGATTAGGGTACGAAACGAGCTCGTCGAGCCTCTGTGCGTTACAAACGGGTACGAGATCAAGATATTGCCGAGCCGACGATGGCCAGCAGACGTGATTCAGAAACTTGCAACCGTTGCAATGGTGCAAATGGGTTCGTACCGGTTGTCACCGTGGTTGCCCACAGCGGTCGAGCCGTCGGCGGAGTAGGCCCACACGATGCTGTTGCTGCCCTTGTAGTTGATCGGCGACAGTCCCGATGTGCCGCTACGAGTAAACCTGAGAGGCGGGGAGGGAAGGACGCGCGGTTAAACTACGGATGGTGGTTTTTCCACAAGCCAGATTCTCCTGGCAGCGGGTATAGATGATATCGACATATTTGCTGTTTCTGAGTGAACTTCAATTGGGGGAGTACAGATAGGCGCCTCGGATTCTCGTCACGCTTTCGTTACGTGCTGTTCTGTGCCCTTTTTATGGTGGACGACGGATAAGGTTTCGCGTCACGACAACCAACAAGGTAAGGGCTGATAGCCTCGGGTTTCGGGTTTAAGGATTTTTTGTTTTAACAATCGAGGAGCTCATAGGAAGTGGCGGGCTTTCGGGCTTAGGGGTATCCATGACGGGGGGATCGCTTCTCTCTATAACGGGGACGGCTTTTAGTGGACTGAGCGGAATATGGTCGCTACTAGGACGACTCGCCTCGTAACAAACACTTCCCATTTCCTCTAAACCCCCCGACAAGGACATGCCTCAGCCGTCTCTCATCGAGTGGTGTCTGAGCTGACGCAAACTCAGAACCCGACGAGATGCCTTAGACTACGCTCATTGGGTGGGAGACCAACCAACTGCAGGGACTTAGAGTTGCCTCTGTAACCCCCTCCCCCCCCCCCCCCCCCCCCCCCCCCCCTCTTTTTTTTTTTTTAAGAATTCCAAAAAAGTATTTAACAAGGTTCGGAACCTTTACGCTCATCAGTAGACCCCCAACCAGAGTGCCTTATATTGCCGCAATACGCACCTGATGACTGTGGCCCTCGATTTCCGCGATACAATTGCCCTCGTTACAGTAAAAGCGGACGACTTCGCTACAGCACTGTAGCTGGTCATCGCGTACGGCTCGACTCCACCCGGCTTGCTGCCCAGATTCCCCACGACGGCGTCCGCGGGGTACATTTTCCCCGCGCTCTTGGTCCAACCAATCGCGATCCACCCCTTATTCGCGCCGCTGCTTGCCTGCGCGATGATCGCGGCGCGGAGCGTGTTCCCGTACAAAACCTTCCAGTGGAACACGAGCCTGGTGTGTGCGGAAACGTGACAGGCCCGGGAAGAGGATATGACAGTATTTCCAAAAAGTGTTCCCGTACAGCACCTTCCAGTGGAACACGAGCCTGGCGTGTGCATGGGGGTTGGGAAGGGTGACCAAAGAAGACCGATTTTTTTCTTAGACCGTCTAGAATAAGGCGTGTTCCCGTACAACACCTTCCAGTGGAACACGAGCCTGGTGTGCGTGGGTGGGGGGATGACAGTAGAGGGATGACAGGAGGGAAGGGTTTCCAAAGTCTTGAAAAAAAAAAAAAAAAAAAAAAAAAAAAGCGGATGTAAGGAAGCCGTATTGCCGCGCATCACCGGCGGCAGTGAAACACGACGCTGACGGTGTGCAAGGGGTGTCAACAGGCGGAAGGGAACATACTGAGCGGGCTCTTTACGATACGTGCCGCGATTGTCACGCACAGCGTTCGGAGCATGACGACTGTCGGGTGGCATTTGAATGACAGGGAATAGACCGCGACAGTGTTCCGCTGGACGGAAAATGAAGCAGAGAAGCTCCGTTACTGGAAAAACGTATATTTTCTCCCGAATGTTCCAGAGAACATTGCGCGCATGTAGTGTGAATTTTACGCTGGCTTTCCGCTCGCTCGGTCCACGAGCACGGGGGTCTGTGATTGAGTTAATTTGCACGAGCTTCGTGCAGTCATTTCCAGACACACAGCCCAAGTCTCCGTTCAATCCACATCTCCAAAAATGTCCAGCGCGTACCCCGGTTTCAGTGTGACTTTCTTCGCGAATCCAGCGACGGGAGACCGGCTGCACGGCAGAGCAGCAGCGCTCGCGCGAACGGCGACTTGAGTCAACGGCAGTAGTATTGCTAGTTGCAGCAACGTGAAAAGTGCAGATTTCTGAAGCGCGAGAGCCATGAGAAACTAAAGGGAGGGATCCGAGAAGAACTGCCAGTGGCACTGCGGGCAATCGCGACCCACTAAGCAGCAAGGAGTGTGGAGTGGAAGGGGCGCAAAATGCTTGGAAGCAGAAAACTGGAACTCACAAATGCGGAAACTGGATCTAAACTAGCTTCACAACAGGAGCAGAAGAAAGGGATTATGCGACAAGAATTTGTAGTAGGATCACAGCAGGAGCAGTTCATACTCGTCTCAAACTGCTTGGGGAACAAGCTAGCAACAGCAGAAACAGATGGCGGCCCCACCCGGCCCGCACGCCATTGGTGCTCTAGCAGATCGCGCAGCGCGATTGGGCGGTGGCCCCGCCCGCGCGTGCGGTAGCGTCGTTGCGCGTGGTCTCGTGTGATATTCCCGCGCAGGGCTGTCGTTTCGTTTTGGGGGCCCCGGACAAATCAGGGGGCCCGACATGTACGACCCTGTATTTAGCAGGGTTGGGGCGAATCTCGGCCCTTTAGGCTTCAGGGCTTAACGAGGTAAGGAAAACTGCCACCACCGGCCACGTCTACAGCCCCCGCATCGAGCACACAAAACATGCGACTGGGCCCTGGGCGCCTTTTCCGCGTTTGCAGAAAATGCTCACACACATGATTGTGCTACACTTGACCTAGTTTAGTAAAGCATACTAAAGATGGTTCCTTTTGCCCCATCGATACTAAATATAAACCGGCACAGAAACCCAAGTATGTTTTATCTACACAACATCCTTCATCCTTCACCCCTACCACTGAACGATAAGCTGCCGAAACCGAAAAAGGAGGAAGCTGTGGGGTTGGCAGCAACAGCAGCAGCACCAGCAGCAGCAGCAGCGGCAAAGGACCGAAGAGTACCCAAAATTGCACCCTCGCCCCTCTCTGCTGCTGCGGCAGCTGCTGCTTCGGATGTCAGGTCTGGTAGGTTGAACCGCCGCGACAGCTGCGTTGGGGTGGGTGGGGGGTTGTGTGGGCGAGACATTGTGAGGTGTGAATCAGGGTGGGGTGAGTTAGGTGGCAAGAGTGTGGAGGTGGGTGCATAGAAGGGAACAACACCAGGGATGGGGATACGAGGACAACCAGGGATGGGGATACGAGGACAACCAGGGATAGGGATAGACCCTGCCCAGCCTTTCTCCAGCATCTGCGATCGTGCCAACGTATTTGGCAAACTCAACCACAGCGCCTTGCTCCACACACACCTTTTAAGCCCACCCACTCACCACAACCTCCCCTGCACCCAACACAACCTCCCCTGCACCCAACACAACCTCCCCTGCACCCAACACAACCTCCTCTGCACCCAACACAACCTCCCCTGCACCCAACACAACCTCCCCTGCACCCAACACAACCTCCCCTGCACCCAACACAACCTCCCCTGCACCCAACACAACCCAACCCCTTCTCACCTCCTCCCTTTCTCCGGCATCTCCGATCCTGCCACCACGCCACCACATACGACCCCCCTAGGCCCACCCGTTCACCTGCCCACCCTGCACCCAACCCAACCCAACCCAACCCAACCCAACCCAACCCAACCCAACCCAACCCAACCCAACCCAACCCAATCCTTTCTCACCTCTTCCCGTTCACCCGCATCCCCAATCCTGCCGACATATTTAGCAGCCTCCACCACAGCGCCTTGCTCCACACACGCCTCCACAAAGGCCCGCAGGCCCACTAACGGCCGCCGCTCCTTGAACAGCTTCTCCAGCCCCTCCCAGTCCCTCAGGCGAGCCAGGGCCTGCAGTCTCAGCCAGTAGTAACGCCGCTCGGGAACCTGCTTATAAGGGGTACAAAATGAAGAACAGACAATAGCAATTGTTATTGCAATGGAAGGAAGGGATTAGGGATACCGGCTGTCCCACAAGAGACCGCTGTTCCTTGAACAGCCTCTCCAGCCCCTCCCAGTCCATCAGGCGCGCCAGAGCCTGCAGTCTCAGCCAGTTGTAGCGCCACTCAGGGAGCTGCTTATAAGGGGTATAACAAGCACAGGGCGGGTTCAGGGGGTGGAGGAAGGTAATTGGGGATGAGAGGCGGTAGGAACAGCAGCACGCCCACAAGTCATTTCAAGTCAACTCACCTTGAAATCACTCTTCAGCTTCTGAGCTTCTCTGTGGTTCCCCGCCGCCAGGCAAGCAGCAATCGTCTCATTCACACTCGCCCCCACCACGCTCCTCCTCCTGCCCTCGTCCTCCCCAATCCCCACACCCTCTCCTGCACCGGTGGCAGTGGCTGTAGCAACGGGAGCAGCCAGGTGCACTCCTGCTGCTTCTAACTGCTGCTGAAAGCTGGGTGGGAGGGAAGAGAGAGGGGCGTGGGGAGCACAGGAGGGAAGAGAAGAGGGAGGGTGTAAGCTTCTGCTTCTTCACAACCCCCCCCTTGCTCTGGTGGCAGTGACAATGGTGGTGGGTGGGAAAAACTGCATCCCTGCTGCTTCGAAATGCTGCTGAAAGCTGGGTGGAAGGCAGAAAAGGGCGTGGGAAGCACAAGGAGGAAAGTGAAGGGGGGAAGACCGTCACCACCACCACCACCATCACCATCACCATCATCACCATCACCATCACCATCACCATCACCACCATCACCATCATCACCATCACCATCACCACCATCACCATCACCATCACCATCACCACCATCACCATCACCACCATCACCATCACCATCATCACCAACCCCATCCCCATCCCCCCCACCCCCACCCCCATCCCCCCCATCACCACCACCACCATCCCCAACCCCAAGTACCATGACACACCCAGCCCAACACTCACGGAAGAAGCTTCACAGAATCTTCCACTGCTTTAGCCTGAAAGCCGTGGTCCCTGGTCCGTGAGAGCAGCCCTGCTGCTGCTTCGAGCTCCCTCACCCTCTCCGCCCCCCACCAGTTCAACCCCTCCTGGAATCCCTGTTGCACGATCTGCTCTGCCACACACTGAGAGCGACAAGATGTGGAAAGAAGAAAAAAGAGAGGACTGGATAAGCGTGAGAGCTCTGCTGCTGCTTCCAGCTCCCTCACCTCACCCTCTCGTCCCCCCACCTGTTCAACCCCTGCTTCACGATCTGCTCTGCCATACACTGAGAGGGACAGGGGTGGGGGATGGGAAAGGGAGAGAGGGCGAGAGAAAGGGAGGGGCGGGTTGGGTGAGTCCTGCCGCTGCTTCGAGCTTCCCCCACCCTCTCTTCCCCCACCCTCTCTCTCCCCCACCCTCTCTTCCCCCACCCTCTCTTCCCCCACCCTCTCTTCCCCCACCCTCTCTTCCCCCACCCTCTCTTCCCCCCACCCTCTCTTCCCCCCACCTGTTCAACCCCTCCTGCAACCCCTGTTTCACAATTTGCTCTCCCACACATTGCATGTGACAGGGGGTTGAGGTGAGAACTGGAAAAAGGGAGAGCAATAGGCGGTGAGTATGTGCAGAAGGAAGCGCAGGTGGTTGCAGGTGCATCACAGTTTTTACATACCACCAGCCATACCACCTGCCAAACCACCTGATGAGTTGTCTGACATAGCACACCCACCTGGCACCTGCCAGATCACCTGAAATACCACCTGCCACTTCACCTGAAATGCCACTTGGCAAATCACCTGAAACGCCACCTGCCAAATCACCTGGTGCATGGAGGAGCGCTCATAGAAACGCATGAGCAGAGGAATGTCTGATTTTCTGGGGAAACAGAGAATGGGGGAAAGGAAGGATCAAGGAGAGGAAAACAGATAATGAGGAGATGCGGTCGTTTTCGAGGCGCCTCAAAAACGACCTCAGAGAATGGAGGAAAGGAAGGATCAATGAGAGGAAAACAGATAATGAGGAGATGCGGTTGCAATTTCTGTGATGGGGTAAAAAATGGTTTGGCAATCCGATATTACAGCAAAAAGAGGCGATTATCTGCAAAATTTAGTACAGAGACAACTATTGTGATGGGAAATAAACCCCAAAAACACACACACGCGCGCACGCGCGCACGCACGCACGCACGCACGCACGCACGCATGCACGCACGCACGCACGCATGCACGCACGCACGCACGCACGCACGCACGCACGCACGCACGCACACACACACACACACACACGCACACACATGCACACACTCACACACACACACACACACACACATACGGCAATACGATAATAGCAAGCAAGAGGGATGACATGATGCGAGAGCTCACTCACTTGCAATAGGAAATGAAGAGGCTTCTGGCAGTAGGGTGGCTCTTGAGCAGCTCAAACACCTGCTCCTCTGGTGCCTGTGCGGTTGGGTTGGGTTGGGGTTGAGTGAGGTTGGGTCGGTTTGAGTTGGGCAGGTGGGTCACGCAATCAACCCTTAGGGCAGTGGAATGACTCTTGAGCAGCTCAAACACCTGCTCCTCTGGAGCCTGTGCGGTTGGGTTGGGTTGGGGTTGAGTGGGGTTGGGTCGGTTTGAGTTGGGCAGGTGGGTCACGCAATCAACCCTTAGGGCAGTGGAATGACTCTTGAGGAGCTCAAACACCTGCTTCTCTGGTGCCTGTGCAATTGGGTTGGGTTGGGTTAAGTAGGGTTGGATTGGGTGGAGTTGGGTTGGGCATGAGCGCACAATACCAAGCAGCTGGAAGAGCACTTGACAGCCAGTCCGCCTTTGATTCAAGTGCAGTAACAGGCATCGATCTGCCTTGCCCACCACGACTCAGCTAAACACACACCTTATTGAGCAGCAAGCAAACAAGCGGGGGACCAAGCGAGCGAGCAAGCGAGGGAACAAGAGTCCACACACCTTGTCGAGCAGCTGGAAGAGCACTTGGAGCACAAATTCCACATTTGGCCAGAATGCAGAAGCGAGCGAGCGAGCGAGCGAGCGAGCAAGAGAAGCACCATGAGGCAGGCATCGATCTGCCTTGCTCACCTTATCGAGAAGCTGGAAGAGCACTTGAAACACAAAGTCGGCATCTGGCCCTGCCTCTGCCTTCCACAGTGCTGCTTCAAACGCTCCCATCTCCAACAGCAGACGCACCTGCGAGGAAGGAGGGAGGTGAGAAACAAAATGGAAAAAAGAAGCCGAGGCACCTAGAAGATAGCATCTGGCCCCGCGTCTGCCTTCCACAGTGCTGCTTCAAATGCTCCCATCTCCAACAGCAGGCGCACCTGCCAGGTGGGGGGGAACAGAATAGGGAAGGAGAGGAAAGAAACGAGAAGAAAAGAAAAAAAAAAGAGATTCGAAAAAATGAAGCGCCAGGATTCTTCAAATTTATTGCTTGAGAAGTTCCAGAACTGGCTTCATTGCTTCACACCACTGCGAGGCCTGACCTGCATTGCTTCACTCCTCCAACTTACCTCTCTTCGAATCCTTGCTCACCTGCCGCCCCGTGTGAACCTCCCTCTCCAGCAGCCGTGTGGCCAACTCGTGCCTGCCTGTGTGAAACGCCACTGTAGCCACGGCTGCAAAGGACACTGCCAGGCTGCCCCTCTTGTCCGTGTCGATCTGCAAAGAGAGGAAAGGGGGGAGGAGGGTGTTTAAGGGAGAATGCAGTACCAACTGGTGCCTGCCCATACGAAATGCCACAGTAGCCACAGCTGCAAAGGACACTGCCAGGCTGCCCCTCTTGTCCGTGTTGATCTGGAGAGCGTGCGAGGGGCAACGAGGCAGCACATACATGGATTGCTTCAAAGTTCAGGTTTTCATGAGTGTGGGTTAACGGACTGCTAAACGAGTGGCAACCGATTGTGGGCACATACAGGATGAACGAGTTTGATGCACTATAGAGTGACTCGCCTGCTTTATTATAGTGTCGTAGAGCACTTCATCCGGCACTTGCGATGCAGAGAGGATCTTGGAGATCGCCCAGTGCTCCAACACACTCTCCTGGTGAATACACAAGGGGAAGGGGGGCAATGAAGGAAGGAAGGAGGGGGAACGAAGCAAGCGAGAAGAAAACATCTGGGAGAACGCCCAGTGTTCCAACACACTCTCCTGGTGAATGTTTGCCAAAACAGGTCAACAACGGAAGGCGGGAAGGGCGGGGAGGTGGAGAGCAGGACATGGAGTTAAGAGAGGGGATGTTGGAGATCGCCCAGTGCTCCAACACACTCTCTTGACAAAAACTCGCAGCGACAGAGCAACAGGGGAAGGCAGGAAGACGGGCGGAGGGAGGAGGCGAACAGAGTGAGGGGAACGGGAGTGGGGAGTGAGGGAGGGAGCATTGAGGGAGGGAGTGGGGAGTGAAGGAGGGAGTGAGGAGTGAGGGAGGGAGTGGGGACTGAGGGTGGTGCGAGGGTCTCACAGTGCGGAGGCCGAGGAAGGCAGCAACTCGAAGGGCGAGCAGATGGTGGTGTGTGGAGCACAGGCGGGCAATGAGGCGTGCAGGGGAGAGCTCCTGAGAGGGTGAGCGGGGAGGGGATGAAAGGGGATTTGGCGGGTCAAATGTCATGGGTGGATGGAATAGAGTGCATGCAAAATTGCAATGTTCTTGAGGCATGCCGAAAATCGACACCGTGGATGACTGCATGCAAGGCAAGGCAAGGCTGCACTGACGCCTGCAAAGAGAGCGCACCTTGTAGTACTGCTCATACGTGGCAATGGAGGCGTGTGGGCAATGGCGGCGTGTGGCGGGCACTGCTCATACGTGAGAGGCGTGCCCGCCACCTCCATTGCCCACACGAGGTGACTTTTGAGTCGACTCAAAAGCCACCTCCATTGCCCACACGAGGTGACTTTTGAGTCGACTCAAAAGCCACCTCCATTGCCCACACGAGGTGACTTTTGAGTCGACTCAAAAGCCACCTCCATTGCCCACACGAGGTGACTTTTGAGTCGACTCAAAAGCCACCTCCATTGCCCACACGAGGTGACTTTTGAGTCGACTCAAAAGCCACCTCCATTGCCCACACGAGGTGACTTTTGAGTCGACTCAAAAGCCACCTCCATTGCCCACACGCCATTGGTGAGCCCGCCCTCTTCCGCGCGCCGCACCGCATTCAGTGCAGCACCCTCAAACACAGTGAATGCACGCACGACTGACTGGCTGACTGACTGGCTGGCTGCACCGAGTGTACCTTGTGCTGTGAGTACGCGAGGGGCATGCCAGCTGTCTCCATCACCCTCACACAGTTGGTGAGCCCGTCCTCTTCTGCCCTCCGCACCGCATTCAACACCCGCAAATCAATGAGCGCCTAGCTTACCTTGTACTGTGAGTACGTGAGGGGCATGCCAGCTGTCTCCATCGCCCTCACGCCATTGGTCAGCCCGTCCTCCTCTGCCCTCCGCACCGCGTTCAGCACCCGGAGGTCCTTGCACAGGCTCATCATGCGATCCCGGGGAAACTTCCTGGAAGGAGCCCAAGGGGTTGGAGAGGAGTGAGAGTTGCAGCAGCAGCAGCAGCGCGGGGGGTGCGGTGCTGGCGAGAGGAAACACCGCTAGCCTTGGCTAGGCTAGGCTAGGCTAGGCTAGGCTGCTAGCTTACCTGCAGAAGGCTCTGCCAAAGGCAGCAGCAGAGAGAAGCCGTTTCTGCCCATCCACATCCCCCTCATGCGCTGCAGCGTGCATGCACCCTCGCACCGCCTCCCCCATCACCGCCGGTCCCATCGCCCTCACATGCTCATCCGCCTTCCCCGACCGCCTCTCAAACAGCCCAAACGCCTCTAGTAGCAGCGCAGGGGGTGCGGTGCTGGCGAGAGCAAAGGCGGCTACGGTGGGTTCGGGAACTCGAGAGATGAAGTCGGAGTGAGAGGAGGAGAGCAGGCGCACGCCATCACACTCAGGAATGAGGATCAGGCGGCTGTCGGTGGTGCTGGTGTCGAGAGCTGATGCTGGCGCCGGCACACTGTGGTGTGAAAAGCAGGGAGGGCAAAAGGGTAATGGGAAAACGGCAATATTGGAGCAGGGCGTTGGAGCAAAATGAGTGAAACGCACGGTGGGTTCGGGAACCCGAGAGATGAAGTCGGAGTGGGAGGTGGAGAGGAGACGCACGCCATCACACTCGGCGATTAGGATCAGGCGACTGTCGGTGGTGCTGGTGTCGAGAGCTGATGCTGGCGCTGGCACGCTGTAGTGTGGAGGGCAGGAAAAAATAGGGAGGGAAATAGTGGAACAAGGCGATGAAGTCGGAGTGAGAGGAGGAGAGGAGACGAACCCCGTCGCACTCGGGGATGAGAATGAGACGACTGTCAGTGGTGCTGGTGGTGGTGGTGGCGGTGGTGGTGTCAAGGGCTGATGCTGGCGCTGGCACGCTGTGGTGTATGGAGGGCAGGGAAGGAGAGATGGGAGATGAAGTCAGAGTGAAGGAGGTGAGCAGGCGCACGCCATCGCATTCAGCAATGAGAATGCGATGACTGTCGGTGGTGGTGGTGGTGGTGGTGGTGGTGGTGGTGGTGGTGGTGGTGGTGGTGGTGGTGGTGGTGGTGGTGGTGGTGGTGGTGGTGGTGGTGGTGGTGGTGGTGGTGGTGGTGGTGGTGGTGGTGGTGGTGGTGGTGGTGGTGGTGGTGGTGGTGGTGTCGAGAGCTGATGCTGGTGTTGGTGCTGGTGCTGGCACACTGTAGGTGTGGTGGAAAGCAGGGGAAGGAGAGATGGGAGCTGCTGCCCCGAATGAACCCTGCCGAAGACAGGCGAAGGTGTGGGTCGTGTTTTGAGTCGACATCTTTTTTGAGTCGACTCGAAACACTGCTGCTGGTGTTGGCGTGGGGAGCTGCTGCCCCGAATGAACCCTGCGGAAGACAGGCGAAGGTGTGGGGTAGCAGGGTTCATTCGGGGCATCAGCTCCTGGTGGTAGCAGCATACCTGCGGAGCGCTGCCGAGCCGAACGCACGGCGCCTACTCAACTCCCCTCCTGCCTCTCCCTCTCCTTCCGCCTCCCCGTCCTCCCCCTCTCCCTCCACCTCCTCGTCCTCGTCCTCGTCCTCTTCCCCTCCTAAAGAATACTTAATAGCGTCCCCAGGCCCAACGAGCATGAGGGCGGGGGGGTGCTGCCAGGAGAGCAGCACCGCGTCCTCACCACACCATGCCATGGCGTCTGGTGGTAGCACGACCTGCAGGAGACAGGGGAATGGGGAAGAGGGGAGAGTATGCATGTGTGTGCATGAGTACGTTGGTGCTGCCAGGACAGCAGCACCGCGTCCTCGCCACACCATGCCATGGCGTCTGGTGGTAGCATGATCTGCAGCAGACAGGGGGATGAGGAAGCATGTGTGCTTGGGGACGGACAAAAGAGCCCTTGACTGCCTGATTGGCAGTGTTGGGACGGGACTGGCAACGAAGGTGTAATCACCCCAGTGATTCTACCCAACCGAGTCTATTTACTCCACCTCCTGCCAGAGCGTCAAAGTGGGTGATCAGCCTGTGAGAGGTCTGACGTCAAGCTAGGGGTAATTACCCAAGTACTACTGACAATTCGGGTCTATTTACCCCACCTCCCACCTGGGTGTCGTAGTGGGAGATCCGCCTGGAGAGGTCTGACGTCAGCAGCACATGCAGCTGCCCATCAGCCGTGAAGCACGCCAGAAGCTTCCCGGAAGCTGACACTGCCATGCGCTGCACTGCTGTGGACATCTCAGGGGCGCCCTGGGAGCAGTTGAGAGGCAAGGGAGGTGAGGGGGCAGGAGGAGAGGAGGTGAGAATGGGGGGGCAGCGTCTGAGGCACCTCGGAAATTGCCTCATCTCATGTGTTGCACTGCCATGCGCTGCACTGCCATGCGCTGACACTGCCATGCGCTGCACTGCTGTGGAGATCTCAGGGGCACCCTGGGAGCAGTTGGGAGGCAAGGGAGGTGAGAATGGGGGCCGCCTTTAGAGCGCTTCATACCTCGTCTACTGCCACGCGCTGCTGCATTGTTCTGCTCTGGACATCTTTGTTCCCAGAGGGGCTCTTGAGCTGGTTTTGAGACGTCTCAGATTTCATATATCGTCTGCTGCCACGCGCTGGTGCATTGCTCTGCTCTGGACATCTTTGTTCCCAGAGCCAGGGAGACTCTGAAGCAGCCAGCTTTTGAGGCGCCTCAAAGGTCTGCCATGCGCTGGTGCATTGCTCTGCTCTGGACATTTTTGCTCCCAGAGCCAGAGAGACTCTGAAGCGGCCAGCCAACCAGCCCCTGGTGACTTTTGAGCCGACTCAAAGGTCGTCTTTGTTCCCAAAGAGACTCTTAAGCGGCCAGCCAACCAGCCCCTGGTGACTTTTGAGCCGACTCAAAGGTCGTCTTCGCTCCCAGAGAGACTCTTAAGCGGCCAGCCAACCAGCCCCTGCTGACTTTTGAGCCGATTCAAAGGTCGTCTTCGTTCCCAAAGAGACTCTTAAGCGGCCAGCCAACCAGCCCCTGGTGACTTTTGAGCCGACTCAAAGGTCGTCTTCGTTCCCAAAGAGACTCTGAAGCGGCCAGCCAACCAGCCCCTGGTGACTTTGAAGCGGCCAGCCAACCAGCCCATGCGCCCCATCCACTCGCAGCAGAGCAGCCTCCGTTCCAAGCAGCACTGCCACCTGGTGTCATTGATTCGACTCAAATGCAACTACCTTCCCCCCCCTCCCCCGCCTCCCCTCGCCCACACCCACACCCACACCCACACCCACACCCACACCCACACCCACACCCACACCCACTCACCACGCGTTGCACTGTCTCCCCATCCACCCGCAGCAGAGCCGCCTCCGTTCCCAGCAGCACCGCCACCTGAGGCGCGGTGACGTCATCCGCTGACGTCAGAACAGGCTCCAGCACAGCCATGCAGGCGGGCGGCTCTGAGAGGCCGGGGTCCGCCAGGGGGAAGACCTCTGGATCCTGTGGGGTTGGGTGGGGTCGGTGGGAGTGGGAGAGTTATAGGAAATGGGGAAAGGGCTGCTAGTGGGTATGAGAGGCCAGGGTCCGCCAGGGGGAAGACCTCTGGGTCCTGTGAGGTGGGGTAGGGTTGGAGGGGTGGAAGTGGATGGGGGGAACGGAGGGGGAAGTGGGGCTAGAGTGGCCGGGCCGGGGTCCGCCAGGGGGGAAGACCTCTGGGTCCTGTGAGGTGGAATAGGGTTGTGGGGGAAAGAGGGTGGAGGTGGTTGGGGTTGTGTTTGAAGGAGTGAGTACGCTGCTAGTGGGTTTGACAGGCCAGGGTCCGCCAGGGGGAAGGCATCTGAGCCCTGTGGGGTGGAATAGGGTTGTGGGGGAAGGGGGTGGAGGTGGTTGGGGTAGTGTTTGAAGGAGTGACCAGACCAGACAACTTATCCACTCACCAACCATTACACTCACATCCACCTCCACTCACATCCACCTATCGTTATACTCACATCAAAGTCCACCATTGCCAGCAGCTGGCAACTCTCAGTCAAGCACACCACTCCTGCCGCCACACGCCCTCCCCCTCCGCTCCTCCCACCCGCTTCTTCCCCTCCCCCATCCCTCGCCTCCCCCTCCACACCATCACCCCCCCTATCCCCTCCTTCACCTCCTCCCCCTCTCATGCCAAATATGTGGGCCTCGGTGATGCCCTCTAGGTTGGTGGTGTGGAGGGGGATACGGGGCAGAGTGCCCTTTCCATGCATGGAGCACTGCACAGAGGGGTGGGGGGTTGGGGGACGGGGGTTGGGAGTGGGCAGAGTGCCCTTTCCATGCATTGAACACTGCACGTAGGTGCAGGGGTGGGGGGTCGGGGGACGCGGGGTGGGAGAGGGGAGAGTGACATGGCATTCCCATGCAATGCAATGCAACACTGCACGTTCGTGTGTGGAACACTGCACGTTCGTGTGTGGAACACTGCACGTTCGTGTGTGGAACACTGCACGTTCGTGTGTGGAACACTGCACGTTCGTGTGTGGAACACTGCACGTTCGTGTGTGGAACACTGCACGTTCGTGTGTGGAACACTGCACGTTCGTGTGTGGAACACTGCACGTTCGTGTGTGGAACACTGCACGTTCGTGTGTGGAACACTGCACGTTCGTGTGTGGAACACTGCACGTTCGTGTGTGGAACACTGCACGTTCGTGTGTGGAACACTGCACGTTCGTGTGTGGAACAGAGAAAGGAGTAAAGGGAGAACTGAAGCTTCAGTCAAGTCAACATAAATGAAAGACACACAAAGATTCCTTCTCTGTAATCTCACCTGGTGAACAGTACCATCTTCAAGCACCGTTATAAGCACCATCCCTCCCACAGCATCCTCCCTCCACCCCAACCCCCATCAACCTCCCTTCCAGAGGTCGGTACAGTGGGAATTGAAACGAATCTCCCTCATTACAATCTCACCTGGTGAACAGTGCCGTCTTCAAGCACCGTTACAAGCACCAGCCCTCCCACCGCATCCTCTCTCCACCCCAAGCCCATCAACCTCCCTCCCGGAGGCTCCCACAGAAACCGCGAGATTGGTCGCCCAGCTGCTGAGAACACAGATATATACTGCCGAGCCTGCGCTGCCGAACCTGCGGCCGAGCCTGTGCTGCTGCCGCGCCTGGGAAGGTGGTTCGGATCGCGGACTGTGGCTATTGGCCCGCCGTAAGGCGCACAGGCGACCATGAGCTCTGATAGGTCCACGTCCTATGAGGGGAGGGAGAAGCATATGGTCGACTGAATGCTGAATTATGGCGGTGTAGATGGACGGACAGTGTCTAAGAGGATTCTGCTTGTCACCATGACGTTAACGGAAAAAAAAAAAAAAAAAAACAAACAAACAAAAATCCGAGGAACGGAAAGCGTTCGCATAGGAGGTAGATGAGACGTCCACTTTACCTGCCATTGCAGGTCTGGCAAAGGCTGTACGCGATAAAAGCAGTTGGAGAGCTCCGTCCATTCGGCTGCATCGAACACAGCCATGGCTGCTACGATCTCAGAGCGTGTAGCTTCTTCACGCAAATTCTACTCTGCGTTCCCTATTAACTCAACTTCGACTCAGCGAGACTCGAGCCATTGCCTCTTACAAGCCTAAGACATGTGCAGGAACTCTCTGCGAAGCGCAGAACCGGGGACCTTCAGTGAAATTGGCTTGCTGTTCTGAAACTAGTTCTGAAATTCCCCGCTACCAGACTCCTCGGTAAAGTGCAATCAGCCGAGGAAGAAGGATCCAGGATACAAGTAGCAGCAAAGAGAACTCCGACGACCACCCAAACCATGAAGTGATAATCCCAAGGCGGATAATACCTACTACTGTACCGTTTGGAAACGCTTTGAAAAAATATGTATCATTATCGAAAACGAAATTGAAGGCAGAGACCTCGAGGCCAGACTGTTCTGCCTTGGCTTTCCAAACCTGACCCGACGGCACGGCAGGCACGGGTGAATTTACCAAACCAGCCGAGCCTCGCCATTGTGGTTTGGGGGAGAACAGTAGCACCAGCACCCCATTTCAGAAGGTTTGTGGTGCGTTCGGTTCGGCAGGATCATGGTGAGTGTGAAGTGAACTCTGACAGTGTGACTTCTGTCAACCTGCCTTCATTTTTTTCTCCCTCGCCTCGCCTGTGGTTCAAGTTGTGCTAGTCTAGACAGCTAGTGTCAGCAGCAGTTAGCAACTAAACCATCCTCCGCCATATCTCATCCCTCTGCTGACGCTGCGAATAGGTGCATTCTGTCTTCGGTTTGACGCTTTTAACGATGCTCTTAATGGGAGACTAAGAACCAGATAGATATGCACTATCTGACTCAGGCGAAGTTCTTGTCGTAGCTCGCCGGCAACTGCTGTAGCCTCCGGCCAGCTGGCAGCTGAAACCGTCAACTCATCCTGTATGTTGTTGATACGGGGGTTACTGGGCCGTCAGTTAGTAGTAATTTCGCGAGCACATTAAGAATTCCGACAGGAGCTAATTACGTCGGGAATACCCGTCTGACCACCGGAGTAGCCTATTTCATCGCATCCACGCTCAATTCAATTCCCCGTTATAGAGAGTTTCGTTTCGATATCATGATTGCCAACGCGTCCTCCTCGTCTTCTTACGAGTTTACGAGACACCAAAATGGCGTCACTGATCCCACTTTTGAGACATCTGAGAGCTCCTCCGCTCATTCCTGGAAAGAAAATGGCGTCACTGATCGGATAGTCTGCTTTCTAGAAGGCCTGGGGTCCCCCTCCGGGTGCCGGCACGAGGACTTCCGGTTGCAGAACGGTCAAGAGGCGTTTCGTGGTTTGCACTCCGATTGGGTGACGAACGAGCTGCTGGCGTGCGCGAGACCGACGGATGCGATGATTGCGGAGGGGCTGGCGGATCGATTCGCGGAACGAGGCATCAGGCTCATCGTAAACCTGGAGGTACAGATGGGTGCTTATGGAGGCAGTGGAGGTATATGTGGGTGCATATGGAGGTACAGAGCGGTGTTTGCGGGAAATGCAATGGTTGCCGAGGGGCTGGCGGATAGATTCGCGGAACGAGGCATCAGGCTTATTGTGAAGCTGGAGGTACAGATGGGTGCATATGAAGGCAGTGGAGGTACAGATGGGTACATATGGAGGTACAGAGCAGTGCTTGGGTGGGACGGGATGATCACGGAAGGGCTGGCATCTGGCTGATCGTGAAGCTGGAGGTACTGATGTCATGGAGGCAGTTGAGGTACAGATGGGTGCACATGGAGGCAGTGGAGGTACAGATGGGTGCGTATGGCTGTACAGGTGGGTGCTTATGGAGGTACAGATGGGAGCTTATTGCTGAACGCATGAATATGTAGGTACACATGGGTGCATATGTAGGTACACATGGGTGCATATGTAGGTACACATGGGTGCATATGTAGGTACACATGGGTGCATATGTAGGTACACACGGGTGCATATGTAGGTACACATGGGTGCACATGTAGGTACACATGGGTGCATATGTAGGTACACATGGGTGCATATGTAGGAACATTCCCGCAGGAAAAAAGGAACAGGCTCGATTGTCATCCCTAGTTCTGAGCATACCAGAAACGCAAATCGATGCTCTTTTTCTCCGCATGCACACAGGAGCCAGGGGAGCATCCGTGGTGCGGGTCAGGGATCACAGCATCGGGATTCTCCTACACTCCTGACAACTTTATCAAGGCTGGAGGTCCGCTCCTGACAAACACTATCTCATGCTGGTGCCAAGATCATGCTTTTTAGAACTTAGTTACTCCCTTTTTTCAACTGGTCTCTGTTCTTGTGATTGTCTCCCTCTCCCTTGCTTTCGCTCTCAAGCACTCCTGCACTGACAGAAACATTTATGCCATTCATATCCCATCCGTCCATCCGTCCGTCCATCCATCTGTCCGTCCATCCATCCGTCCTTGTTTTGTGTGGCCAGTGGGTTACCTCCATGCACCATGGAAGGACATGGCATGTCCGCCCTTCCCCACAATGCTCTCCATCGTGCAGAGCATCTCCCTCGCCATTGGCCGACGCCACAAGGTGTGCAATCTGTGCGCTGATGCAATGTGTGCAATGAATGAAACTGTGTTTGTAGTTAACCAAGTGCATCTATGTTATAGCAGGTGTACTGTTCACTCCCAGTGTCTAGGTGTACTGTTGATGATTCGTCTCCAGGCTCTAAACATGCTTGATAGATTTCACCTGATGATAAATTACGTTAGTTCTTTCCTTGGATGCAGGTGGCTGTCCACTGCCATGCTGGCCTAGGTATGCAAAGCAACTTTCACTGTTCAAAGCAGCTTTATTGAGCTCTCTCCAGCTTGTTCACAAAAGATTGTGTATGCCTAGCGTGTGTGCCTGTTGCACAACGCATGGTTTTGTACACCAAGTGGGGGACATGAAACTGTTTGATTGTGCAGGAAGGACGGGCCTTGTTATCGCGTGTTATTTGGTTGCAGCAAACTCGCTATCAGCTGCTGATGTAAGCAACTCCTTCAGTGTCCCCCTCCCCAATTGCCATCTCATTCAGTTCAGTTCCTGTAATTCCTTCACTTCACTCCAAGGCTCCGTTTTTTTTTTTTTTACCTTGCAAGCTTGTTGCGGTTAAACATGTATTATTTTCCCTCTATACAACCTTCTCTCTTTTGCTGATGCAGGCTGTGGCTGTTGTGAGAGCAATGAGGTGAGTGGTGACGTGATGAGATTGCTGGTTAATCTCTCATATGCTGCACAACATTCTCCGCAAAATTCATTATTGTCAACGTGCCTTCTGGTTAGCTGCTTCTTGCCACCTGTTGCCTACCCCCTGTTTGCTGCTTCTGTGTTCAGGCCTGGATCACTACAAACTAGGAAGCAGGAAGTTTACGTGGCTGAGTTCCAGGCAAGTTGCCTTGCATGTGCCTAGGCCTGCTTAATTGCAATGAGGAATCCAATGAGGCCAATTTCAGGTACGTTGCTATCAATATTTGATCTCCCAGGCTTGGTAGACAAGGATAGCAGTATTCAATTTTGACAAGTTTACCTATATCAGAGCACTAATTGCGTGTGTCCTCGCTTTCAGCACCTCCTCATGTGTCAACTTTCTTGTCCTCCCTTTTTTCTTATGACCTGGTGCATCATGCATGTGCACAGGCATTTGTACGTGGAGATGCTGTCAACGGGTCGCAAGAACGAGCCCCGTTGCTGGCTGGGCAATATTCCCCAGAGGTATTTTGGCATCAAAGGCACACAGCAAAATTATGTGGCTCCACGCAAATTCATTGTTGCTCATATATTTTGCTGCTTCTCATTCGTGTATGCACACTAACCGGTTTGTTAAGAGATTTTTTTTTCTTGTTATTTGGCACTATGAACTTGCAGGGTGCATGGCTGTACAGGATCCAGGATCTGGCGTCTTACGCCTGCCTTCTGTGTTCTATTTGTTGCAATCGTAGGAGAAGGCTAGTTGCTCATTAATTATGGAGCTTGTGAATTACATTAGCTGTGTTCATATTTATCCCGGTGAGTGTAGCAACAAATTTGCTTCACGCTTACGCAACTCCGCAACATAGGATTTAGTGATTCACAGACGGCCAAGTTCAACAGCGACGACAAAGTGGGGCGTTTTCACGGTTGCGATGCAACCGCCAAAGCTCGCACACATTATGGCAATTCAAATTTGAATTCGGATTTCCAGTTTCGCTGTTGAACCATCATGGATGGCATGACATTCATCGGCAGGGCAACACAAGTTCGGTCTAGGATAACGTTGGCCTGTTGAGGCCTGTCAGGGCTGGCAGTTTTAGCTGCATGAAAATGATCATAGGCCACGGGAATAATCCTGTTTGTGTAACTTATTTAGGGATGCGCCTCTGACTCAGAGGGACGTCTAGTGGTTGATTTGTGCCGTTTTTTATTAGGTAGCTGGGTTAGACTTCGGCTTGGGAAAGGACCACTCGACAAAGCGACTATGGCTCCACTTACTGGTCAGCCAGGATTATCACCCAGCTCACATGCTTTGGACCCTAATTTCGAAATTGACGACTGCCACGTTCCGGATTTCGGTGGTAACGCATCCAACGGCGGAGATCGTTCGGGTGGATACGACAGCGACGACGAGCTCTTACAGCCGTCAGGACCGGCTGACATGTCCGCTTTCAAATGCTTTGTCACTGAAAACGTCCCGTCAAATGCCGTCAGCAACGGAAGCGCTGCTTTCCGTTCAAACGCACCTGCCTTCGCGCCGTCGTCGTCCTTGCAGACAGCCTCTGCTCGATTCGCTCCCGTTCCTCCTCCTGCGACCAGAGGGTCTCACGCGAATAGAGCAGCTCCAAGCAACAAAAGAGCCCCTCCGCGCAAAGGAGCTCGCGTTTTCGCTCCTCCAGCAACTAAGCCTAAGCTTCAAGCTCCAGGGACTAAGTCCAAGTTCGAAGCTGCACGATTCGGTTCCATGGCTCCGAACCCCAGACTCGCAACTCCGTTTATAGGTGGCTCTGGGACAGGGAGTTTGGATGGAATGAAAAGCAGCAGCAACATCAGCAACGGCCGTGGTAATATAGATAGTAGTCAGGCTTTCAGTTTTTCCAGTCGCCAGAAACCTGTTGGCTTGGAGAATTACGCGTCGGTTAGTAACGCGGGGGTTTCCGCGGGGATTAAATTGGGGAGTTCAGGACGCATGGTTGTCAATGGCGCCAGGGGAGACATTGGATCAGGTGTGGGGTTTCAGTTCATTAGCGGCCACAATTCGAGTAATAAACCGGGTAACAAACAGGGTAACGGATTTGTTTCGAGTACTACGGATAAGTCACCTGCTCCCAGCAGCTCCGCATTCCCGTCGGTCGTCGCACCAGCCGTCGCGCCAGTCGTCGCGCCAGCCGTCGCATCTGCCATGGCTTCAGCTGTCGCGTCTGAGCGGATGGAACGGCCGGCAGGACCACGAGCGACAAAGGCCTCGACAGCCACAGCAGCAGCGGCAGCAGCAACGGCAGCACCACGAGCAGCAATACCGACCACAGCACCACCACCACCAGCTGCAGCAACACCAACCACGGCAACAGTTGCAGCTGCAGCAGCCACAGCAGAGGGAGCAGCAACAGCAGGATCAGACCCTGTTGTCGGGGCAGCACCAGCACCAGCAACAGCAACAACAACAACAGCAACAACAACAGCAGCAGCAGCAACAATAGTGGCAGCAGCAGAAGTGACGGAATTAGGAAAAACAGGCGGATGGGGGTTGGCAGCAGGCTCACAATTTTCTCTCGGAGGGGTTTCCGGCGATGGGCAATCAGTGGGGAGGACTGCGACAACTGTGACTATGATAGAGAGTGCAGCGAGGAGAGCCAAGGAGAGGAATGTGGGGGATGTGGAGGAGCACTCGGGCATTCGTCTGAGGTGAGTTGTACGACTTATGACATTTGAGACGTCTCAAAAGTAGCCAGTGACTATGGTACAGAGTGCAGCGAGGAGAGCCAGGGACAGGAATGTGGGGGATGTGGAAGAGCACTCGGGAATTCGTCTGAGGTGAGGCAGACGGCTAGAGAAAATGTAGACTCTAGTCAATTCTGAGAGTCTGGTTTGGGAAATGGGTGATGTGGAACGGTGCTGGGGTTTTAACCTGTGTTGGGCCAAAATGCTCGAGAAGTAAGTTTGGCAGTTGGCTTGATGTTGGGTTACTGGTTGGTTGTGTGTGCGATATGCGAGAGGTATTGGGTTCTTTCGACTTGAGGAGGCCCGTCTAACTTGATAAGGTTGGCAGATGTGTGCTGCATTGCATTGTCGTTCGTTGACTGCTGACCCTTTCATCTTCTTAGAAGAAACGTTTAATCTCCCATTGGAATTTCGTTTCGTCCACCAACAGGAACCGTTTCATCTCTGCACCGCAGCTAAGGCAGAAACTGGCTGACATTCGCTTCCTTCGCCTCGAAGCCATCTCGTATGTGCATGTGATTTCTAGCGGTTGCTGAGGCACATAGCTTTCTTCCACCTGCCATGATGTGTCCCGTGCCATCCTCTGGCCGACATTGCTTCTTTCGTCTGGAAGCCATCTCGTAAGTGCGTGTGCTTCGTGCATTTTCTTTCTCCATTGCATGTGTCCCACGCATTCAGTTCTTTTCTTTGCATGTGTTTCACGCATTCAATTATTTTCTTTGCATGTGTTTCAAGCTTTCGCTTCATTCTTGCATGTGCTACACACCCTTCTCCCCGCTCTGCTCACCCTCCCACTCCCCCCCCTCCCCCCTTCCCCCTGCTCTGCTCCGCCCCAGATCTGCTCTGATTGGCGGAAGGAGCCAGCTGGCAGGAGCGTGGGCAACTATTGCCGTCATATCCGGATGTTCATCTGTAAAAGCCACTGCCACTGCCAAACCCGCTGCCACTGCCAAACCCACTGCCACCACCAAACCCACCTCCACCCCCAAGCCATCCTCCTCCTCCTCCCGTCCGTTCATGTCTTGGAGGCTCTCCTCTCTCTCTGTTCCCCTGGGGGGGGGCAGAGGAGGGGGAGGAGGGAAAGGAGGAGGAGGTGGAGTGGAGGAGGTGACTTTGTTCTTGTTCGGGGCAGCGTTTGATGTGTACAGCAAGCAAGAAGTGGGGACGGTGGTGGCAGTGCTAGGAGCGGAAGCCAACCCGCCAAAGGGGGTGAGAGAGGCAAGGCAACCTTGTGTTGCTGTTGGGGGCAGGGTTGTAACCCTGCCCACACGCTCCCCATCCACAGATCGCCATGGCAGAACCTCCCGCCATCTTCTTTTGAGTCGACACAAAAGCAACACACATGTGCACGCATGCTTAATAATACTATTTTACACACTCCTCCCCACACGTTCCCATCCACGTGTTGCCATAGCAGAACCTCCCGCCGTCTCTCCGCGTGATCCGAGCCAATCAAATCCTGCCAGTTGGCACTGCAAGGGACTTCGGCATCTGCAAGGGGGTCATGGAGGGCAACGAACCTTGCAAGGCCATGATTAACAGGTGAGTGGCATTGTTTGTCACGATGTGGGTGTGTGTGCGGTTCATTACACTACCTGCTACGATGTGCTAGTGTGGGTGGCATCATGCCATCTTAGCTGCAAGGGGGTCATGGAGGGCAACGAACCTTGCAAGGCCATGATCAACAGGTGAGTGGCATTGTTTGTCACGATGTGGGTGTGTGTGCGGTTCATTACACTACCTGCTGTAATCAACAAGTGAGTGGCATTATTTGTCACGATGTGGCAGTGTGCCTGCCATCTCATTTGCAAGGGAGTCAAGGAGGGCAACGAGCCTTGCACGGCCGTAATCAACAGGTGAGTAGCATTACCTGTCCTGATATGCTAATGTGGGTGGCATCATGCCATCTCAACAGGTGCATATGACACGCGATGCTATGTCATGCAATCCCAATTCATGCCATGCCATGCCATCCCATCCCATCCCATCCCATCTGACTGACATTCCATCTCAAGATCGCCCATCTCTTCCCGTCCCATCTGCCCTGCCCTCCCATTTGTCCGCCGTTCCACACCTCCTACCGTCAGAATCCTAGCACAGTACTGTTTTTGAGTCGACTCAAAAACAGGCTCAAAAACTGAGTCGACTCAAAAACAGGCTCAAAACCTGAGTCGACTCAAAAACAGGCTCAAAAACTGAGTCGACTCAAAAACAGGCTCAAAAACTGAGTCGACTCAAAAACAGGCTCAAAAACTGAGTCGACTCAAAAACAGGCTCAAAAACTGAGTCGACTCAAAAACAGGCTCCTACGGTCAGAATCCTAGCACAGTACTGCGATCGCCACATTGCAGCAGCGTATCAGAAGATGCATTCATGCTATGTCACCTCTGCCATCCCATCCATCCCATCCCATCCCATCCCATCCGCCCTCCCACACCCTCGTTGGTCAGAACCCTTGCAGAGTACTGTGACTGCCACATTGCAGCAGCGTATCAGAAGATGAAGCGTACCTGCTTGAGCTCGTTGCTATCTCGCCTCATGCCATCCCATCCCATCCGCCCTCCCATCCCATCTCACGCCCTCTACTCTCAGAACCCTTGCAGAGTACTGCGATCGACACATTGCAGCAGCGTATCAGAGGATGAAGCCTACCCGCCTCGAGCTCGACGGGGGGTGAGTGTACATGGAATTCCCTGCCACTGCTGGTTGAAGTCTTCGAGCAGAGTTTTGAGAATCCTGAAAAGCAGCTTCAGCATGTCAATTCTCACTGTGCTGGTTGAAGGCTTGTTTTACCCCCACCCCCACCACCCACCCTTACCAGTTCTCTCCATATAATCACTACCTTGAAGAAAGTGTTTTCATAAGCAATATACTGGCATGTGCCAAAACCTTCTCGTTATAATCACACCTTGCAGGAACCTTTCAACTGCGTTCCTGTATCGGAACAACGTGCGGCGGTCCCGGCAGGTGCTACTAAGCAATGGTACATGTGGCAGCAGTGGGAGCAGCAGCAGGAGGGGGGCAAGGCCTGTGGCTGCCCTAGACCAAGACGCCCTGAGGAGCATTCTCAAGGGGAAGGAGAACCTCACGAGCCGGCCTGTGTCGCAAGGGAAACGGTTTCTGGCAGCAGCATCGGGGGATGAGGAGCAGGCTCCCTATGTTCCTCCGCTTAAGCGAGCAAAAGGCGTGGAAAATGGGACTGTAGGGGGTGAGACAATAGGGGGAGGGAGCAGGGTAACAGTGGGTAAGGCTACTGGAAGGGTGGGCCTATCACAGGAGGGGAGTATGAAAGGAGGGATCAAGGAAGGGGTGGATGTTGGAGATGGGGTTAGTAGAGGTGAAGTGGGGGAAGGAATGAAGGATGGAGTAGATGTTTTTAGGGGTGGTAAAGTAGCAGGTAGAGCTTCGGTGACGCAGGGGAAGAGCCCTCATTGGATGTTGAGGGAGCAACGCTTTCAACCAATGGAGAAAATGGTTGAGCTGGTTGATGTTGACGATGACGACGAGGAGGACTAGCACACAGGGGCAGCAAGCAAGGTCAGTGTTTTACATATTTTCTCGTACCTCTGTGACGTCCCCAAAGTGCTAATTTACTATTGGTAAATGTTCACCTTCCTTTTTTTTTTCCGTTCTCCCTTTCAGGCTTTCATTCTGGATTCGTTTCTCAAGACGAGCCAAACAACTTGTGGCACATATGAACTTATTGTTCTTATTGTACGTTAGGTGAAACGGAGTTCGGGGTTGAGTGCAATCTACACCGCGTACTCGTCCGCAGAATTCTCCGCTTGTCTGGTCTTCTGACTGCTGCAACAAGTGTTGACACCTTCCCCGACATGCACGTCCATTACGATGCCACCTCAGCCCTTTTCAAGCCTCTTGTCAAGTGTTGACCGATCTTCGTTGACCCGTCTCTGCTCCAGATTGCACCAAAGCATGCAAAGTCGTGTGTTTCCTGACGTGGCATGGGCTGACCTGGGGAAGCTTGGTGGCGACCAACCGCCACATCACTCAAAATCAGTAGGCAGCAATTTCCCTGCAACCTCGCAATTTGGTTTGGAATGATCCACCGAGCACGCGACGACGCTGGCGAAACGCATTACCACATGCACTCTGTGGACCTTTTTTCCCTCGCAGCGTCCCTGTCCATCGTAAACTCTGTCCACGAAGAAATGCCTAGATGCGGCTCGGGCTTGGTACATACACAAGCAAGGATTGCTGCTTCTCCCAACCAACAAACAGTGCCCAGCAGAACACAACCTGCTAGAACTTGGAATTTAGAAATCAGCTTTCGTCTCTGTCAATTTCGACAGAACACGGATCACAGCTCAGACCGTGATTTCAAGGCACATTTCAGAAATCCAGATTCTGCCGCGAAATTTCTAATGGCTTACGGTCCTCTAAACATGACTCTCCTGTCTGCGTTCATCGCGACACTCACTGTGCTATCGGCATTCAGGCTCTCTCTTGCCGCAAGGCACGTGACACCAGCTGCAGCTGTAGTGACTGCAGAGGCAACGTCTGTGGACAGCCGCATGATTCCGATGAACGGAACTCAGTACCGCACGAGCGCTCTGGCGTGCAGCAAATCGGCTCTCCCTGGATTCGCGAAGAAGGTCACTCTCAAGTCGAAGTAAGTTCTTGCCACTCCCTGAGTTTTTTTTAACTGTGTGGTGACGCATTTCGCACCGTCAGATTGTAGACATTGGAGACGTTTGAGACGTTGGATAAATCAGCTGCCCAAATCTGACTCGATCGTTCATCCAAACCCTGACCCTGGCATAGGCTCTTATTCCACTGGAAAATCGTGGGCACGACTCTCCAAGGCGCCATTGTCGCACAGGCTGGTGGCGGCGCGAAGAACGGGTGGATCTCAGTTGCGTGGACAAAGAGTGCCGGCAGGATGTTCCCTGCAGACGCGGTCGTGGGTAATTTACCCGCGCCTAACACCGTTAAGGCGTATGCAATGACTGGTTTCAGCAAGTCGTCTGTTGTGCCTTCGTCCGCGTTCAAAGTGACAGCTACGTCCGTTACAAATAGCGCCTCGGCTACAATTATCAAGTGAGGTTTCCTCTTTTGTTTTCTGTCTCTCTGCATCTTATCTGTAGTATTTTCTCCACAGCATTTGTAGGTGAGTGACGAACAGAATGCTTGGGTTACAAGGAAACACCGGTCAGTGAGACTGGTGTTCATGCGGGGTGTCATAAGTTGGAGCATTCATTTCCACGATTTGAGCTCTCAACATGCATACAATGCTTTTTTTATATGGTTCCGAGCATGCCATCCCTATCAACTGACTTGCTGCCTGGCCTTCAGATTTACCCGGAGTGGCAAGACAGGCCTGTCGCCTATCAATTATGCTGGCACGAACAACATGATATGGGCCCACTCCTACTCGGGTTCCTCCAAGACACTTGGTGACCACGGTGGAAACTGGTACAAACATTCGATTACCAGCTGTGTTCTCGTGCAAGCACACACCAATCGCATTCCTTTCACACATTTAACAACCCCATTTTCGGTGACTTGTTTGTTTACCCCCCACACCATTTCAGGGGCTCTGTAACAGTCAACCTTGTTACGAATAGTAACATGTAATTGTTACTGAGCACTCCTCACCGCAGCAAAGAGAAGCACGCAGTATCGAAGCAAGAAAGCGAACCGTCAGACAGTTGGAGTTTGACTCGAAGTGTCAGACAGTTGGGGCGCATCTGGACCGTCGGAGGCAGACGGCATCGGACAGCTGCAGGCAGGATGTTCTTGGCGGGAACAGTTACGAAACTGTACGCGCCGCACGGTTGAATGTATTTGAATAAGGGAATGTACCCCTTAGAGTACATGGCTAGCTAGAACGTTTCGTCTTCCCTGTACTCATATTTATACTTGCTGTATTTGCATGTTTTAATCATCTCAAGCATTTTACATTCACTCTGCTATTGAGGTCACGGGCCCACCAACTACATTTCCCTGTGTGCGAACCTTCCCGAGTAGATCCTGGTAAACGATCACTTTCTGATCGTAGCATGGTATGAGAGCGGCTCGGGAATCCTTCGCAACACCACTCCCGAAAATTGCGACACTCGGAAAGTGGCGACCGGCACACGCTCGCGTGTGAGAATGGCCGGAGGATCTGGTGGTCAGACTAATCTGACGGCTGAAGCGCGCACCAATCCGGCTGCGACAAGCGAGGAAACGACTACGATCGGCACCGAAGTCCTCGCACAACTTCTTCAGCGACTCACCAGTCTGGAGCAAGGGCTCCAAACATTGCGGAACGGCGATGCGGGAACATCCTCGCAACCAACCCAACCGGGCCCAACTGGGCAGAACACCGTCCCGCAAACCTTCTCCCTCGACACAAATGGCTCAACCCCCAAGGCTCCCCGTCCCAGTGAAGAGGCAATTCTCTCCGCTCAATCAAAGTTTCTGAGCATATCAAAAATAAAGACAAGTTCCAGCTTTGACGGCAAAGACTTCTATACCTGGAGCTTCGAATTGGAGCTCCTGCTGCAGAACGCCCAAATCTTCCATTACTTCGACGGGAGCTACGCCGAGCCTGCCGAGGACACCGACGACGCCAAGGCGAGGTATTACAACGAATCACTGATGGCGTACGGGGTGCTCCTGCGGAACATGTCCCCGGCGGAGCAGCTCAACATTCGTTCGTACAAAACGACAGCTGCTCCAGCCCTCAACGCCTGGCGACATCTGACAGGAGTGTATCAGCCCAAGGACTCTGTCTCCTCGAGCCGACTGCTCCAGGAACTCCTGGAAACCAAGATGATCTCAGGGGAGAAGGTCAACACTTACCTTAACCGCTGTCGGAGCCTTCGCGATCAGATCGTGAAGTTGGGAAGCACGATATCTGAAGAAATCTTCGTTAACATCGTACTTCAAGGGCTCGGCCCAGAGTGGCGGCCCTGCAAGGCGCTTCTCCGACAGCAGGGGGTCATCTCGGAGGCCGCCCTTTGCGCCGCCCTTCTCGTCGAACAACGGGATATGGACCAGCAGCGACCAGCGCCACGACGAGAAAGAGAACGGATCGCCTTCTACGCCGACAACAACGAAGAGCGACGTCCGAGGCGCCTCTACTGCAAAATTTGCAGGAACTTCGGGCATCTGGCAGATCGATGCAAATCCCGATCTCGCCCTCGCCAGACCAATCCGAGCAACTGGTCCGGCCGACAAGACGTACGAGGCGACGTGCGTCCAGCCCAGGGCTATCAGCCTCATCCCACACGCAACCTGAACCCCGCGGTTCAGCATCAGCAGCAGCAGCCGCCACCGACTGCCACAGTACGCAATGTCATGAGCAACATGGCCATGACAGGCGAGTCCCGTCGTCGCCGCGTGCGCTCACCATCACCTGAGCCAGCACCGCATCCCATTGGCGCGTTCTCTAACAACAACCCATTCAGCCCGCGCCACGACTTCACCGACGACGACGACCAGGACTGGAATCTCCCAGTCCCGCTGCTTGAGAGTCCCCCGCACGTACCTGACATGCGGGTGGCGCCACTTGATTGGCTCACGCGCGAGCAATTTCTGAAGTTCGATACCCCGCACATCGTCACGCCGCGATTGGCGCTGCTCGCACGTGACGACAACAAGCGCAACAACACCTGGTACTTGGACAGCTGCTGCGGCCAGCATATGGTGGGCTCCGAGCGTTACATATCCAACGCCGTCCCCACCCCTACCGTCACTCACGTCACTGTGGCGAACAACACGCGCCTGCGCGCAAGCGCGCAAGGCATCGTCGTGCTCAAAGCACGCGGAAGCCGCACGCACATCACTCTTAATGATGTGTTAATCGTCCAAAACCTGCGCTTCAACCTCTTGTCCGCCGCACAGCTCATGGACTGCGGCGTCGACCTCAGCACGGACCACGCGATGCGAGATATCCTGCTACACTACGAGGCGCGCAACTTCCCCCGCAGGCAGATCGGACGAGCACACTCCGAAAATGGAGTGTACAGACTGGACTTCGACATTCCCGACTGCAGCGGCGACTCGCACGAGCTAATTGACCTCGTGCCACTGCGATTCGAACACATCCACCGCAGGGACTGGAAGCACCCTGACGGCAGGCCGTGGGTACCGCATCATCCCCACCCACGCGAAACGGCACTTCACAACCCCGATCCAGATGGAATCTGCAGGGATTGTCACACGCCGACGACCTCGACGAGCGCGATTGCAGGCCGCGGACTCGCCGCCATCGCGGAAGCAGAGCGCAACGCGCCCCCCGAGGAAGGGATGTCGCAACTCGAACTCGAAGTCACCACGCATGGCGTGTTCGGCACGCCTGAGCACCCCCTCACAGGTCCCCCTTCTCAACATCTTCGAGGGATGCTTCGTGGAACTGGTGTCGGTACCTTCGATGCGCGTGGCATGCCACGCCCCTACACCCGCGAGAATTTCCTGCAGATTTACCCACATTGGCGCGACCCCACGGCAAAACTCACCGTGGAACAAGAGGAAGAACTGGCGCGCCGCGAAGCCGAGGAGCTTCGCCAACAAAGCCTCACCGAGGCACGCGGAACGTTCGCTTGCGCCGCATGGGGCGCCGAAGCTGAAGAAAGCGCCACCAATGAAGGGGGGTGGGAAAACGTCGGCGGTTGGGGAACGACTGAGGCTGGCGACTGGGCAACGGCAACCGGCGAATGGGGCGCCGCATCTGGCGCTGACACGAGTGGCCGGGGCACCCCTACTAGAGGCTGGGG